TTTATTGAGGAACACAAATCATGTGTAAATAATTTATTTAATTATAATATGAGTTTGATCAAATATTTGCAATTGTAAAAAATAATAATAATAAAAATAACATGCAAGGTCACAGTAGCCAAAAATAATCTGATTCAATTAGGATATAATACTAAACACACATGTGATGAATTTAACATGAATTAATGCATATAAAGGTGCAATATGCAGAAATGTCTGCAATTTCCTGGTTGCTAAAATGCTAATAGTTTGCTTAATTTCAGTTTATTTGACAAAACAAGCAATGTATAGTATAGTAAAGAAGGAAACTTAAGAACAGGAAGCATAGAAATTGCGCACAAAGAACGGACCTACCTCTTCTTAGACTTGCTTTCAATGAGAATGACAGATCTATAACCCACATTTCTATGTGAATTTGGTCGGCCGCCCTAAAAGTTACATACTGCAGCTTTAACTATTACTATAATTTGCAGTTGGTTTTATTTTTACCACCTCTGCAATTATGTCCTGTGTCTTTGAGGCCGTCAGTAAGATGGCCAATTTAGGTCAGGAAGGTAGGATTGGAAAGAGTAGGCTAGTAGATACAGGCAGCTGGCCAATCTATTCCAGCTAGGATGGATGGATAGACTAGGCTGGTAGATACAGGCATAGTGGTAGGCTACCACCGCGGAGTAAGTCCATTCCAAGCGCCACTCACATGTAGAAGTTGCAGCTACATGTGGGGGAGCGCGCGCTGTGATGGAATGAAAGTGTGGGATGAGCTAAAATAAAAACATTTTTAGCCCCGGAGCATTTTTGGGAGAGGGAGACAATATCAACGGATGGAACAATATCGGAGAATGACCTCTTTTCAATGGCCAATAAATCAACCTTGTTGTAATGAATCCACGGTGGATCGACTGACGGGTGCACACTGGAACAGATAAAGGGGCTGTCGGCAGCTTTTGAAGATGCCAACTGGCACCGGGGTTAGGCTGCTTGAGAAATAGTGGTATATTTAGAATAAACATATAGCCTAGGCTGCAGTCTCCCTAGCCTGCCTATATAATAATGGGAAATGGGAAGATTGTGTAATTTTATTTGATTACACTATAGCAGCATTCTCTCGCCACAGGACACAATTCTCACGTGTGGTTTTCATAATCCAACATCTGAGTAGCGTTTTCCCTGCGGCTCCGAGGGAGCCGGGACTGAGCTCACACATTCACACATGCGAGCTGTTCGCTCCGCTGCTTCGGTCGGGGATCCGCGCCTCGGCCATTTGAAATGAGGACGGCATCCCGATCCTTCGCTGTTTGAAACAATAGGCCTACTCGAGCGATTCCTGCGGTACGAACCATCTGTGGCACGGAGCTGAGTGGGACGCTATCTGCAGGGAGAGGGAGGAGGACTAGCCTGCTGTCCGCTATACCCCAGCCTGGTCCCCGCGTACTGTACAGACATGGAGACGCTACCGGAGCAGAACTGCACCATGTCGAAAAAGAGAGCTATAGCTAAAATCTTCAAAGTTCGCAAGCGGAGACAGATGCTTTTCGTTCAAGTCTGTTTTATCTGCAGTATTCTATGTTTGGCATGGTGCATGTCCGCCCTGCTCACAAAAACAGGTGAGAAGAATACGAAGGGAAAGGGATCGCAGGGTTGGTCCGGGAGGAACGCGTTTATAATCACGGGACTATGTGGAACAAAAAAATGAATTTCATGATGTGATTGCGCAAATTTAGCACGCACTGCATTGGTGATAAATTAATATATCATAACTCATAAATCTATGACACTGCTTGTATGAATTATGTATCTGAAGGTCCTTCTGCTTGCCTGCCTCTGAATATAAATCCGCTAGAATCGGCATAGCGGGACGCTATAATAATAACCATGGTTCGGGATGGAGATTTGTGTTATTTGTGGCATGCGCGTCGTGTCCCATTTTGGGAGATTCTTGCATTCTCAACCAAAGATGACATGTAGGCTACAGAGGAACAGGTTACAGCGCTCATGATTTCAACTAGGCAGGCAGGCAGCACACACCTCTGTTCTGTTTGTAGAATGTGTTTATTCCCACTGCATCTGGGACACTCATAAAAGGCCTATAGGCTGCCCACCTATAGCCTATATGGCCCTGACTGACTCACGTGGATTGGCAATCGCAGTGTGTGTCCCTCTCTCTCTCTCTCTCTGTGTGTGTGTGTGTGTGTGTGTGCTCAGACAGGCTATGTTTTAGAATATAATGTGAGTGGCAGATCATTCTCAATCAATCATGATTTACACCATATACTGTATTCACTTCTTCAATAGGGTCATAGACAAGTTTGTTTTGGTCTCCTATTCATTTTCTGTGACATGTGCTGTCTCTGTCGCCTTGGCCTCATATGGGAGCTATTGGGGGGCGCGGGAGGTGGGTCCCTCGCCCGCTGGGTGGGTTTGTGGAGACCACGTCGGTTTCAACCAGCCTTACTACAGCCAGAATATGACCTCCCTGTATTTAACTGTACTACATCATTCTGAAAAGACTGAAAAGAGACAGAACAACAGTATATATTGTCAATATCAGGTCAGATCACAAAACCTGTTCATGTTTTTGTATAGAACATGATTTAACACACATTTACTTGTATGCACTTGGCCCTTTTGGTGCCATAGATTATGTGTAAGAGCTGAAAAAGAATAACTATTACCTACGTTTATTAAATTATGTACAAGGACATAACATATTCTATATGAACTGTGACAAATCCTTGAATTATTATTTCAGGAGAGGTCACTCAATTGTCAGTGTTAATCTTTCGTTCTTGATCATTAATTAAATTGTTACATCAATGTTACAAAATGATGCAAACAATAGAAAGATAGGGATAGAGTTGAACAGTCAAGACTTTGAATCAGCAACTTATTACAGGACAAGCCATAGAAATTGTATTATGGCATTATGGTATTAAGTGTTCTACCACCAATATGGAGGAATCACTTATAAACTGTCAACATTAAGTTAAATACTCCAGAATGCACAATAATTTTAGAGGCAAGCATTTGTGAATGTGTCCATGTCTGATGCTGTCTTGCCTTTGATATAAATTACCCCTCACTTATCCATACCAGATTAGTTCACAACTGGTGAGGAGATTTAATGAACCACACATCTATCAAATTCCTGACTCCTGAAATATGTTAATCTTTGTAACTTTCTCCACACACACTCACAAACACACAATTATTTTCCAATCGTTCCATTCCGAGCAGAATCCCTACTTATTTCGTTCCATTCCAGTGCTCCGACCAGCATAATAAAGTTCTGAACCGGTTCAAACCCCAAAAAGTAACGGTTCATATAGTTCCTTTTCGTTGAATTTTTTACCCCCTGTAATCAACATAGTTTTACATTTAGCTAATTAATTTACTCACATTTGTATGTCAATTGTAAAGTATTTTTGTCTCTAATGTCTTTTTCGTTATGTGTCGGACCCCAGGAAGACTAGCTGTCACCATTGGCGTCGGCTAATGGGGATCTCGATAAAACCTCAATCCATCAGGCCTCCCGAGTGGCGCAGTGGTAGAGGTGTCACTGCAGACCCAGGTTCGATTCCGGGCTGTATCACAACTGGCCGTGATCGGGACACAATTGGCCCAGCGTCGTCCGGGTTAGGGGAGGGTTTGGCCGGGGGGGCTTTATTTGTCTCCTTGTGGTGGCGCCTGCAGTTTGACCTCAGTCGCCAGTTGAATGGTGTTTCCTCGGACACATTTGGTGCGGCTGGCTTACGGGTGTTAAGATGCGTGGTTTGGCAGTTCATGTTTTCGGAGGACGCATGACTCAACTTCACCTCCCGAGCCCATTGGGGAGTTGCAGTGATGAGACAAGATGTAAAAAATACATCTACATCCACCAATTTGCTTGGATAGAGCAGTTTTGCTATGGAATGGGTAAGCTAGTTGTTTACATGTTTGATGGACAGATAAGTGCTTGAAGCACTGAGCATCATGAGATGACTTGAATGGGAATGTGTGTAGGCTATTACTAGCATAATAACCGCGCATCTTAACACCCGGAAGCCAGCCGCACCAAATGTGTCGGAGGAAACACCATTCAACTTAACTGTTTTACAGAATTATGTACTAGACATTAGGAATATTTTCTGAATCAAAAATTACATTATTAACCGGTTCTCAAGATTAGAAAATAACGGTTATGTTCCGGGACATTAGAGATCACTTTCGTTTCCGGTTTTGTTTCCTTTCCTCAAATTATTTCGTTATTTTCCGGTTGTAGTTGTTTTTCCCCGAACCAGTTCCAACCCCTGATTTGAACATCAACTGTTTGGATAAAATGTGTCAGAGAGAGTTCACTAATTGTATTAGAGTAACTAGGAGCTTAAGGGATTATAACAAATGATATCATGCGTAAGAGGATGGAAGAAACGTAATCACAGACAAGCAACTGTTAGAGCTGGAGATAGCACTGGCTTGTCCGTTGTAAGCAGGCTCATTGTTTTACATACAAATGAGTCCCATTATATTCAGACACACAGTGGCATCAAACGATTTACATGTTGATAAGTTTGATAAAGCACAACACAGAGCTCAATAAGTATTATAGACTGCCACCCTTATAGCATTGGTTAGTCCTAACTACATTCCAAGCATCTGACTTCCTGGTTAGACCTTCCTAGATTTATTTCCAGGGATTCTCCAAGTGGAGAGTGGTTGCACCTGAGACGGTCGCTGTCCACTCTCCTATGGTGCTGAACTTCCACATTTCAATGTTGTCGCTGTCTGCTTTAATGGTGCTGAATATCTGACCACCTCTATTACAGCTTGTTTGTTTAATCAACATTGGACCTTTTGCTCCTCTGACAGATTCACCACATGAATCTGCACCACATCGGCCCTGGTCAAATGAAGTGCACTAAATAGGGAATAGGGTGACATTTGGAATGCAGAGCCCAGTGTTTCAATACATGTTCACTGCCTGTCTCTTTCCTGTTGTAGGACATGGTCTGGTCCTGGAGCAGGGGCTGGCTGACACATCAGACCGTCTGGGACGCAGGCTGATGGCCTTGGACGGGGACAATGACACACTGGATAAGAACTGCACCGAGCCAGGTAGGTAGTGTTCCCTAACCCATCCCAAACCATTACCCTAACCCTCTAGCCTAAACCTGCACAGAGCCAGATAATGTCGCTAAACCTGCACTGAACCAGGCAGTGTAGTAGTGAACCCTCATTTTGTCTAGAGCCATGTTGTGCATCTTATACCTGCACAGAGCTAGGTGCTGCACTGTTCCCTAAACCTGAACAGCCAGCAATCTACTGCAGCTTGGGAGGACTTCATAGAAAAGCTCTTCAGAGTGTGTTATACAATAGCACAGCCCACATGCGTCCTACAGCCTACACATGCTCTGAGTCAGTCAGAAAAAGAACAGATGGAGTGAGATGGGAAAAGATTGGTTGCCTTAGATGTTTCACTATATCTACCACCACTAGCTCTCTAGTTAGTCTATTTGTTCGTCAGAAGAGCCACAGTTTTTACTACTGTGGTTGTGGTGCAGATGAGATTTGCAAATGAGGGCATCCAGCTGAATGACGAATGAGATGAGTTAGTGTTGGAGGCACAGGACAGAGCTGTAAATCTCCACTATATAGGCGAGAGAGAGAGAGCAGAGGACTGAAGCCTGACAGAAAGCAAGCTCAATTACTGTTCCAGTTCAGCATGCAAACCCAAAACCATTATGTTCTGTTCCGCACATAATCATTTCAAAATTATGAACGTAACAAATGATAATATCATGGCAGAACTGACAGTGGTATCATGACATTTTAAATAAAGCTATCTCTCTTTTTTAATTGCTGTGTGTTTACATTTGTTATTTTTTTTATCCTTCCCCTATTGGAGCTGGTCTCAATTTGATCTTTTTTTTAGGGTATATTGATTTATCATTGGTTTATTTTTGACACACTTATGTGTTCATATTGATGTTATAATAAACACAACCTTCTGCATCAGAACAGCCCTCAGAATGGTACTGATAGTCCCCTTCCTGACAGGACCATTGATGTGCTGATAGTCCCCTTCCTGACAGGACCTTGGATGTGCTAATAGTTTTCTTCCTGACAGGACCTTGGATGTGCTGTCTAATAATAGAAGATTGTGCTATTTTTAGACCACAATACAGCAGTGAGCTGCTGTACGGTATAGACTGACTGACTCTGACTGACTGACTCTGACTGACTGACTCTGACTGACTGACTGCTTCTCACACATCAGAAAAAAGCAGGTACAAACACAAACCTTAGAAGACCAAGAAAACTACTGACGACACAGACATTTTATTACTCAGTTTATTTGAAAGACTGAAGTTGTTCAAATGGGATACCATGCTTCCTAAACCTTCCAGTCATCATTAACAAAAAAGCTAGTTGTATTTTAGCTGCTCACATCTGTTCACACTGCCTAGCCTGTGTTGACATACACATTGTCATCCTTTGTGTTTATTGATATCAATCAATCTCTATCAGCTGGGCAGATTTCTGGTGGTACAGTAGAGGAATTGCAAACATCAAGGCACAGCACCTAACCACTTAGTGCTGAATTAACTTCAGAATAGAGTAAAAAACATCTGGCGGGTTCAGTTCGTGAAGTAGACATTCAGAAGGCCTCATACTGCAATCAACCAATCAATCAATTAATCAATCAAATGTATTTATAAAGCCCTTTTTACATCAGCAGATGTCACAAAGTGCTTTTACAGAAACCCAGCCTAAAACCCCAAAGAGCAAGCAATGCAGATGTAGAAGCACGGTGGCTAGGGAAAACTCTCTAGAAAGGCAGGAACCTAGGAAGAAACCTAGAGAGGAACCAGGGGTGGCCAGTCCTCTTCTGGCTGTGCCTGGTGGAGATTCTAAGAGTACATGGCCATTAAGGCCAGATCGTTCTTTAAGATGTTCAAACATTCATAGATGACCAGCAGGGTCAAATAATAACCACAGTGGTTATAGAGGGTGGAACAGGTCAGAACCTCAGGAGTAAATGTCAGTTGGCTTTTCATAACTGAGCATTCAGAGGTCGAGACAGCTGGTGTGAGAGAGAGAGAGCTAGAGAGAGGAGAGCGAGAAAGAGAGAGAGAGAGAGAGAACAGCAGGTTGGTGCTGCAGTGGATAGCTGCCGTCTTACGGGCTCCTGACCAATTCTGCTATTTTGTGTGTTTTTTTACACTGATCAAAAATTTTTTCTACATAATATTTCCGCCATAATTTCCTATGACCGAAAACAGCTTCTGTGGATATACTGCTCATTCCGGACCAGGCCCTAATCCCCGGGACTCGAAAGAGAAAGAGATGGTGCAAGAGAGGCAAACGAGTGGGCTCCCTGACGAGACTACGTCCACGAGTAAATAATTTGCCTCTACCCTTCGTTCTACTGGCCAACATACAATCAATCACTAGAGAACAAAGTGGACGAGCTCCGTTCGAGACTATCCTATCAATGGCACCTGAAGAACTGTAATATCCTATGTTTCTTGGAGTTGTGGCTGAACAAGGACATGGATAATATACATCTAGAGGGTTTTTCTATGCATCGTCAAGACCGAATGGCAGCTTCGGGTAAGGTTAAGGGGAGAGGTGTGTGTCTCTCTGTTAACAACAGCTGGTGCGCAATCTCTAATGTTAAGGAAGTCTCGAGGTACTATTTACCAAGTTTTCATCTATATTTTTCATAGCTGTCTATTTACTACCACAAACCGATGCTGGCAGTCGGACCACACTCAATGAGCTGCACAGGGCCATAAGAAAACAAGAAAATGCACATCCAGAGGCAGCGCTTCTAGTGGTCGGTGATTTTAATGCAGGGAAACTGAAATCCGTCTTACCAAATTTTTACCAGCGTGTCACCTGTGCAACTAGAGGCGAAACAACTCACCTTTACTCCACACACAGAAATGCATACAAAGCTCTCTCCCGCCCTCCATTTGGCAAATCTGACCATAACTCTATCCTCCTGATTTCTGCTTACAAGCAAAAGATCAAACAGGAAGTACCAGTGAAGCATTCAATACGGAAGTAGTCCGACAAAGCGGATGCTAAGCTACAGGACTGTTTCGCTAGCACAGACTGGAATATGTTCTGGGATTCATCCAATAACATTGAGGAGTTTACCACATCAATTACCGGTTTAATTAATAAGTGCATCGACGATGACGTCCCCACAGTGACCGTACGTACATACTGTATCCCAACAAGATGCCTTGGATTACAGGCAACATCAGCACTGAGCTAAAAGCTAGATCTGCCGCTTTCAAGGAGCGGGACACTAATCCGGACTCTTATAAGAAATTCTGCTACGACCTCCTACGAGCCATCAAACAGTCAATATAGGACTAAGATCGAATCCTACTACGCCGGCTCTGATGCTCGTCTGATGTGGCAGGGCTTGCAAACTATCACGGATTACAAAGGGAAACCCAGCCGCGAGCTGCCCAGTGACGCAAGCCTACCAGACGAGCTAAATTCATTTTATGCTCGCTTCGAGGCAAGCAACATTGAACCATGCATGAGAGCACCAGTCCGGACGACTGTGTGATCTCGCTATCCGTAGCCGATGTGAGTAAGACCTTTAAAAAGGTTAACATTCACAAGGCCGCGGGGCCAGATGGATTACCAGGATGCGTACTCAGAGCATGCACTAACCAGCTGGCAAGTATCTTCACTGATATTTTCAAACTCTCCCTGAACCAATCTGTTATATCTGCATGTTTCAAGCAGACCACCATAGTCCCTGTGCCCAAGAACACCAAGGTAACCTGTCTAAATGACTATTGCCTCATAGCCATGAAATGATTTGAAAGGCTGGTTATAGCTCACATCAACACCATTATCCCAGACACACTGGACCCACTCCAATTCGCATACCGCCCCAAAAGATCCACAGATGACACAATCTCTATTGCACCCCACACTGCCCTTTCTCACCTGGACAAGAGGAACACCTATGTCAGAATGCGGTTCATTGACTATAGTTCAGCGTTCAACACCATAGAGCCCTCCAAACTCAGGACCCTGGGAGTGAACACCTCCCTCTGCATCTGGATCCTGGACTTCCTGACGGGCCGCTCCCAGGTGGTGAGGGTAGGCAACAACACATCCGTGCACAACTCCAACACCATCAATAAGTGGAGCGGATCGAGAATTTCAAGTACCTTGGTGTCCACATCACTAAGGATTTATCATGGTCCACACACACCAACACAGTTGTGAAGAAGGCATGACAACGCCTCTTCCCCCTCAGGAGGCTGAAGAGATTCGGCATGGACCCTCAGATCTTCAAAAAGTTCTACAGGTACACCATTGAGAGCATCACCGCTTAGTATGGCAACTGCTTGGCATCCGACCGCAAGGCGCTACAGAGGGTAGTGCGTACGGCCCAGTACATCACTTTTTACTGCTGCTCTTTCATTATTTGTAACATTTATTTCATTTTATTTTATTTCATATTTTTTGGTATATTTTTTGGGTATCTTTTCTTAAAACTGCATTGTTGGTTAAGGGCTTGTAAGTAAGCATTTCACTGTAAGGTCTACACCTGTTGTATTCGGCGCATTTTGATTTGATTTGATCACTGGGGCCGAGCTCCCTGCCATTCAGGACCTCTATTCCAGGCGGTGTCAGTGGAAGGCCCTAAAAATGGTAAAAGACTCCAGCCACCCAACTCCTCTCCTCTTCAGTGCTGACAAGCTGAGTCTTGGGTAGAGTGATGTACGCACGCATGCATGCGCGCACGCGCACACAAACACACACACACACACACACACACAACTGTCAGGCAGACTGGATCAGCAGGGCACTCTGCGGACCCAGCACAGAGCTTCTCCACTGATAGCTCTCAGCAAGTCTGAGTGTGTGTGACACATGGACTGGTGTGTATGTGTATGGTTTATGGTATGTGCCAGTGTGGTGGTGAGATCTGTAGTGTACAATACAGAATGAAGGAGGGAGGGAGAGAGAGAGGAGAAAGATAAAAGAGAGAGAGAGAGAGAGAGAGAGAGAGAGAGAGAGAGAGAGAGAGAGAGAGCTAAAGGCATCCTACTGAGCTGAAGGCCAACTAGAGGTCATTGTGCCTCTCTCTCTCTCTCTCTCTCTCAAATCATATCAAATCAACTCTCTCGCGATTTACTGTACCTTATCTCAGTGTAGCTATCACAGTGCTAGTTTGGATACTGTTAGTGTGTAAAATCCCAATTGGGTTTTTGACTGATGTGCTCCAATATCTTGTTATACTATAGTACTACTGTAGGCTACTGAACATGTAGTACATGTTCAACCATGTATTTTCTTCTTGCAACACAAATGCCACTCTTAGACTTAGAAAATACTTAAATACTGAATCTTGAGGGAACTGCTAAACATTAATTGTCCTTATTTCGAATCAACATCAAAGCATTCCCTTGCTACAGCAAGAAGGAGGAGAGGAAGCATCACATATATACAGTAGCTATTTAAAAAATATATACACTACCGTTCAAAGGTTTGGGGTCACTTAGAAATGTCCTTGTTTTCGAAATAAAAGCAATTTGATTGTCCATTAAAATAACATCAAATTGATCAGAAATACAGTGTAGACACTGTTAATGTTGTAAATGGCTATTGTAGATGGAAACGGCTGATTTTTAATGGAATATCTACATAGGCGTACAGAGGCCCATTATCAGCAACCATCAGTCCTGTGTTCCAACGGCACGTTGTGTTTGCTAATCCAAGTTTATCATTTTAAATGGCTAATTGATCATTAGAAAAACCTTTTGCAATTATGTTAGCACAGCTGATAACTGTTGTGCTGATTAAAGAAGCAATAAAACTGGCCTTCTTGAGACTAGTTGAGTGTCTGGAGCATCAGGAATTGTGGGTTCGATTACAGGTTCAAAATGGCCAGAAACAAATAACTTTCTTCTGAAACGCGTCAGTCTATTCTTGTTCTGAGAAATGAAGGCTATTCCATGCGAGAAATTGCCAAGAAACTGAAGATCTCGTTTATCGCTGTGTACTACTCCCTTCACAGAACAGCGCAAACTGGCTCTAACCAGAATAGAAAGAGGAGTGGGAGGCCCCGGTGCACAACTGAGCAAGAGGACAAATACATTAGAGTGTCTAGTTTGAGAAACAGACGCCTCACAGGTCCTCAACTGGCAGCTTAATTAAATAGTACTCGCAAAACACCAGTCTCAATGTCAACAGTGAAGAGGTGACTCCGGGATGCTGACCTTCTAGGCAGAGTTGCAAAGAAAAAGCCATATCTCAGACTGGCCAATAAAAATAAAAGATTAAGATGGGCAAAAGAACACAGACACTGGACAGAGGAAGATTGAAAAAAAGTGTTATGGACAGACAAATCGAAGTTTGAGGTGTTCGGATCACAAAGAAGAACATTTGTGAGACGCAGACCAAATGAAAAGATGCTGGAGGAGTGCTTGATGCCATCTGTCAAGCATAGTGGAGGCAATGTGATGGTCTGGGGGTGCTTTGGTGGTGGTAAAGTGGGAGATTTGTACAGGGTAAAAGGGATCTTGAAGAAGGAAGGCTAACACTCCATTTTACAACGCCTTGCCATACCCTGTGGACGGCGCTTGATTGAAGCCAATTTCCTCCTACAACAGGACAATGACCAAAAGCACAGCTCCAAACTATACAATAACTATTTAGGGAAGAAGCAGTCAGCTGGTATTCTGTCTATAATGGAGTGGCCAGCACAGTCACCGGATCTCAACCCTATTGAGCTGTTGTGGGAGCAGCTTGACCGTAAGAAGTGCCCATCAAGCCAATCCAACTTGTGGGAGGTGCTTCAGGAAGCATGGGGTGACATCTCTTCAGATTACCTCAACAAATTAACAACTAGAATGCCAAAGGTCTGCAAGGCTATAATTGCTGCAAATGGAGGATTCTTTGATGAAAGCAAAGTTTGAAGGACACAATTATTATTTCAATTAAAAATCATTATTTCTAATGTTTTGCTATTAATTTTGCATGGAAAACTAGGAAATTTCTAAGTGACCCCAAACTTTTGAACGGTGGTGCATATATATATATATATATACATATATATAATCTTTGTAAATTATATCATCAATAGGACTGGTGGAGTTATGTCACACATGCAGCTAACAAAAATATATGGAAATGTCTGCTCTACCCAAAATTACAACCAACTAATTGCAGCATTACTGGAATGGAAGAGACAAGTGGAAGGGGAAAAAGTAAGGAACTTGTCTGTTGGCCCTGCATTAAAGACCAAAATTGGTTAAAGAAAATTGTGATAAATAAAAAAGTATACCAGTTTCATTTAAGGACCCAAAAAATTACAGCTGTGCCAGATAGATTGCAAAATAGTTGGGAAGAGATTTTTGATGTACTGATTCCATGGCACATGGTTTATGAACTGATACACAAAACGACGGCGGATTCAAAACATATAATCTTTCAATTTAAATTATTATACAAAATTCTTGCAACCAATAGAACGTTATGTATATATTGGAGATACAACCATCCCAACTCTGCCCAACCCATTTGCTGCGAAGAGACAGAATCATTAGATCATTTGTTTTGGTACTGCCCATATTTAGCTTGTTTTTGGTTGCAGGGCCAGGAATGGCTGTCACGACTTCTTCCGAAGCTGCCTCCTCTCCTTGTTCGGGCAGGCTTCAGCGTTCGTCGTCACCGGCCTTCTAGCCACTGCCGCTCCTCATCTCATCATTCCATTTGTTTTGTCTTGTTTTACACACACCTGGTTCATATCCCCTCATCAGTCCCTGTATAAGTATTCCCTCTGCCCCCAATGTCTTTGTGTGTGATTGTTTCATGTGGAGGTGTCGATAATCGTTAAATGCTTTATGTACTGTATTCGCCGGGATATTCACCCGTGTGTTTTGTTTTTCTCCAGTGCGCCGTTATAATGGCTGAAGAATTGCAACATTTACCGGAACTCTGCAAATAGCACTGCTGGGTGATTTTAAAAGTCTCAGTCAATCAATCAATAATATAATAATACCTTTAGCAAAAATGTTTATCTTTAATTTACAATCTGTATAAACTATGAGAATAGAAAGGTTCAGACGTTTTGTGAAACATCACAGCACAGTTAAAACATATATGGCAAATAGAAGAAAAAAATGGATGGTGTTAAAGGATAGATGGGAGGGGTTGAGTGGAGCTGAAGGGTGGGACTAAAAGCAACAAGATAGCTAATGTAAAATATACTGTGTCCGTAAAATGTATATAGGTTCAGAACTTTTTTTGAAACAGCACAGTTAAAAATATGTGGCCAATAGAAATCAAACTGGATGGTCTTCAAAGATAGATGGGAGGGGTTAAGGGTAGCTGAAGGATGGGATTAAAAACAAACAAAATATAACTATTGTAAAATACATTGTGTCCGTAAAATGTATATAGTATGTATAAGCTGGAAGTAGAAGCCTAAGTGTTGTTGTCCATTAGTTTACTCGAATTAGGGGAGGGGTGGTAGGGTTAGGGGAAAAAATTAAGGAAATATATATTTTTTAAAGATATATACAGTACCAATCAGAAGTTTGGACACACCTACTCATTCCAGGGTTTTTCTTTATTTTTGCTATTTTCTACATTGTAGAATAATAGTGAAGACATCAAAACTATGAAATAACACATATGGAATCATGTAACCAAATAAGTGTTAATCAAAATATATTTTATATTTGTGATTCTTCAAAGTAGCCACGCTTTGCTTTGATGACAGCTTTGCACACTCTTGGCATTCTCCAACTGTCTTGAAGGAGTTCCCACGTATGCTGAGCACTTGTTGGCTGCTTTTCCTTCAACCCAAACCATCTCAATTGGGTCTAGGTCGGGTGATTGTGGAGGCCACGCAGGCAAAAAGGACAATGTCAGAGTTTAATTCAATAAGAGAAAAGCTGTGAAATGGAGAGTTGAATATAAAGAGAAGGGAGAACCAGAAAAGTAGTTTGGGAAAGATTTGGTGAAGTGGTAAACGAGGATGATACATACCAGTGCTGGCTATGTTATGTGTGATGATTGTGAGGCGCAGTTAGATACTGTCTGTAGAGGGACTATCTTGATCAAGATCATAAAAGCTGATAGTATTTCAACCACATAAAATATACATCCAAGCCAAACTGAAATCTTATCAGAAACATGTTGGGTCGTTTTCACAGCTTTCTATTTCCTTGCAACCGGTGAAACTGATGTAGTTTGGAAATTTGGCACAGAAAATCTTTTCCGTTTTTTTAGAGTTAGGCTATTGCGTTTTCTTCCCGGTCCCTAAACGTCTTTGCTCAACGAAAGAAGCAGAGATGACAGAGAAACCTTTACCGATGTCAACTAGATTGAAGTATTCATTCAATCAATCTATTACATAATTCTGGTGAGCCAGGGTTTATTTAGTCTTCTATGGCAACATATAATGACAGAAGAGAAGCTGCATGTATCGTTAATTAAAGACAAGTTGACTAACAAATAGCCTACTAAAATGTCTGAAATTATAAGCAGAAACATATCTAAATCAGACCCCAAAAAATCCTGCACCCCCTGTCAATATATCATTCCGCCATCTCTGACTGTAGCCTACACCGCATTTTCTATATTAGCGGGTTAGGTTCGGGTGCGGGCCTCAGATTTTCAATTAATCACATATAGTCGGGTGATTGCAGATGAGTTATTAGCAATTGCGGGCGGGTGCAGGTGAACAAACAGCTGACCCGCTCACCACGAGTAGATATGTATAGGGGGAAGGTGACTAGGCATCAAGATATACACTGCTCAAAAAAATTAAGGGAACACTTAAACAACACAATGTAACTCCAAGTCAATCACACTTCTGTGAAATCAAACTGTCCACTTAGGAAGCAACACTGATTGACAATAAATTTCACATGCTGTTGTGCAAATGGAATAGACAACAGGTGGAAATTATAGGCAATTAGCAAGACACCCCCAATAAAGAAGTGGTTCTGCAGGTGGTGACCACAGACCACTTCTCAGTTCCTATGCTTCCTGGCTGATGTTTTGGTCACTTTTGAATGCTGGCGGTGCTTTCACTCTAGTGGTAGCATGAGACGGAGTCTACAACCCACACAAGTGGCTCAGGTAGTGCAGCTCATCCAGGATGGCACATCAATGCGAGCTGTGGCAAGAAGGTTTGCTGTGTCTGTCAGCGTAGTGTCCAGAGCATGGAGGCGCTACCAGGAGACAGGCCAGTACATCAGGAGACGTGGAGGAGGCCGTAGGAGGGCAACAACCCAGCAGCAGGACCGCTACCTCCGCCTTTGTGCAAGGAGGAGCAGGAGGAGCACTGCCAGAGCCCTGCAAAATGACCTCCAGCAGGCCACAAATGTGCATGTGTCTGCTCAAACGGTCAGAAACAGACTCCATGAGGGTGGTATGAGGGCCCGACGTCCACAGGTGGGGGCTGTGCTTACAGCCCAACACCGTGCAGGACGTTTGGCATTTGCCAGAGAACACCAAGATTGGCAAATTCGCCACTGGCGCCCTGTGCTCTTCACACATGAAAGCAGGTTCACACTGAGCACATGTGACAGACGTGACAGAGTCTGGAGACGCCGTGGAGAACGTTCTGCTGCCTGCAACATCCTCCAGCATGACCGGTTTGGCGGTGGGTCAGTCATGGTGTGGGGTGGCATTTCTTTGGGGGGCCGCACAGCCCTCCATGTGCTCGCCAGAGGTAGCCTGACTGCCATTAGGTACCGAGATGAGATCCTCAGACCCCTTGTGAGACCATATGCTGGTGCGGTTGGCCCTGGGTTCCTCCTAATGCAAGACAATGCTGACCTCATGTGGCTGGAGTGTGTCAGCAGTTCCTGCAAGAGGAAGGCATTGATGCTATGGACCGCCCGTTCCCCAGACCTGAATCCAATTGAGCACATCTGGGACATCATGTCTCGCTCCATCCACCAACGCCACGTTGCACCACAGACTGAGTTGGCGGATGCTTTAGTCCAGGTCTGGGAGGAGATCCCTCAGGAGACCATCCGCCACCTCATCAGGAGCATGCCCAGCCATTGTAGGGAGGTCATACAGGCACGTGGAGGCCACACACACTACTGAGCCTCATTTTGACTTGTTTTAAGGACATTACATCAAAGTTGGATCAGCCTGTAGTGTGGTTTTCCACTTTAATTTTGAGGGTGACTCCAAATCCAGACCTCCATGGGTTGATAAATTTGATTTCCATTGATAATTTTTGTGTGATTTTGTTGTCAGCACATTCAACTATGTAAAGAAAAAAGTATTTAATAAGATTATTTCATTCATTCAGATCCAGGATGTGTTGTTTAAGTGTTCCCTTTATTTTTTTGAGCAGTGTATAATAAACAGAGTAGCAGCAGCGTAAATTATGATTGTATTTGAGTGTGTGTGCATGTGTGTACAGTCAGTATACATGTGTGTGCATGTTATGTGTGTGTTGGAGTGACAGTGTGCACGAGTGTGTAGATTCCTGAGTGTGTGCATAGAAACCGTGCAAAAACCTAACTCAGATAGTCCATGTAGCCATTCTGTTAGCTATTTAGCAGTCTAATGGCTTGGGGATAGAAGATGTTCAGGAGTCTGTTGGTGTCAGACTTGATGCACCAGTACCGCTTGCCGTGCGGAAGCAGAGAGGACAGTCTATGGCTTTGGTGGCTGGAGTCTTTAACGATTTCTCATGCCTTCCTTTCACACCGCCTGACATAGAGATCCTGGATGGCAGGGAGCTCGGCCCCAGTGATGTACTGGGCTGTCCGCACCACCCTCTGTAGCGCCATGCGATCGAGGGCGGTGCAGTTGTCATACCAAGCAGTGATGCAGCCAGTCAAGATGCTGTCAATGGTGCAGCTGTATAACTTTTTGAGGATTTGAGAGCCCATGCCAAACCTTTTCAACTTCCTAAGGGGGAAGAGGCGCTGTCGCACGTTCTTCACGACTGTGCGAGTGTGAGTGGACCATTTTAAGTCCTTAGTCATTTGGACTCCGAGCTCTCGAACCCGCTCCATTGCAGCCCCGTTGATGTAGCTGCAGTGTACTCCCTGTTCACCCTTTCGATAGATGATCAGTTTTCTCTGTGGCTTTGCACATGCTTGGTTAACCAAGCAGCATACATATAATCAAACAGCCACTATGAGGCTGTATTGTAGATTTGACCTGTCAAAATAATGTGTGTGTATGTGTGCCAACCATGGGTCTCTCTCTCTCTCTCTCTCTCTAGATATTTGTTAGAGAAATTAAGAAATTCAGAAGGGAAATTCAGTTACAGTCAACTTCACCCACAGGGCCATTTCCATGACTCTGCTGGTGGAGGGCAGCTGTTTGCTTGAATGAAAAAATAATGAAGGCCAGGGCCAGTGGGGGAAGTTGATTCAGTACACTCTTTATAGACAGAGATGATATCTGATTACTCATCTTCATAACACACACAAATACACACACACTTACAAGTACTCAGAGACACACACATATGATTTGCGTGTGCACACTTACACATGCAACGCACACTGTCAGGCACGCAAGTACACACACACACACACACACACACAAATAGAGAGCTCTCAGGACAAATGCACTGTGTCCTAACCTAACTTCTGGATTGCATGCGTCTCCTCACATTTGTTGTTTTGAGACATGGCACTAGCTGAACGCGCTGGCTGGCTGTTGTCTACTGCCGAGAGAGTAATGGTGTTGTCTTCAATTATTGATCACTGCTGGTTGGGTTCCTCAAATAGGCTTGTAAGGGAGCACCTGTCAGGGCAGGAGAATCCTGGAGGATCCTGGGTAGGAGGACTGTGGCAGAGAGGCTTCACCCATTAGGGGAAGAAACATCCATGACACTCCACAAACATTTGGCTGACCCTGGTCCTCGATCGGCCACAGGGTTGTTAGGGTGGGAGTCCTCCTATGGCACATTTCATGTCCAGTCAGATTTGACACAGCAGTGAACCCAAGTCAGATTGATCTGTGCTATTTCTGGAGGTTAGTGTTATGTGTGTCTTGATTAACGATGTGGTAACCAAAGATCTACAATTTGTTAACAGAAATTGTAAGAGCAAAGGTTTAAAACCCCAAAACAGATATCAATGCATTAGGTTATTATACAAATGCTTAACTTACAAACCAATACAAGTATAATGAATCTGTTCAGTTACAGTATATACTGTAGTCTATATGGGAAATCAAAACTGCCTCACTCTCTCGCTAGCTTATGTAACAGTTCTGAACATACTGTATCAAAATGCAGACTCCAAATGGCATGAGTTGTCAGGTTGAATCGTTTAATCGAGGCTAGCAGACAAGTCTAGTGGTGTGACAGTGACAGACTGCGTGAGTGCTATGTGGACTGGAGCAGGAGACTGATGATGACGCTACGTTGGAGCTAGCTGCTAGCTCAGATAGATGCTCTCCCCTCTCCTTCCCTTCCTCTCTTCCCTTCCCAGGGGGTGACCTTGAGGCCTGTCCTCTGTTATGGAGGAGGGTGGGGGAGAGTGGGGGAGTGTATCGCTGCTGAGGGCCTGCTGGAAATCTGATCAAGGCTACAGTGTCCCCACCATTTGATATGCCTCTGGGAGGGAGGCTGTTACTGCTACTACTGCTGCTATGTCTGCTATTCTCGGATGCTAGAGAATACTACTGTACACTTGATAATAATGTCAATATATGCAGTTATTTATGCCCTTATTGAGTGAACCCGTTTGCTCTTTGATTATTTTATATTGTATTTTCAGTTGGTACAGTATAATATTTAGAATTGCGTTATTAGATTTTATGTGTTATCTATGACTTGATAATTACAGATATATTAATTTGCTACTATTTTGATTTAAAGGGAGTGTAATCAGCTTAGATTGATTTGATGAGAGAGAAAGACGTCTGTCCATTAGCTGTGTATTTGTACTCTCTTTGTGGTTTGATTGGAATGGGAGTGCACACACGTCTCCCTTCTGTATCCCTTGTGGACATCTTGTGTCTAGTGGGCTTCTGTCCAACCTCCAGAGAGAGATGCAACGGGATGACGTGGTGAGAGAGATGGGGGGGGGGAGAAAAGAGAGAGAGAGAGAGAGTGGTGACAGAATGCAATGACATCATTGGTTGGAGAGGTAGCAGATGGACACATGGATCTCGCTGTGTCTCTGTGTCTCTGGAGATGTGGTGCCGAGTAGGCCGCTGATCTGATCCAGGAACAGATGGGCCGTTTGGGCAACAGAGCCTAACCCACCAAAGCTTACCACTCCTGAGGGATATCACCCTGTGGTGAAGCATGGCTCTCTCCCACACAGCTCTAGAGGAGGATGCAGACTCACCCGCACAGCTCTAGAGGCAGGACTGAGACTCACCCACAGAGCTCTAGAGGCAGGACTGAGACTCACCCACACAGCTATAGAGGCAGGACTGAGACTCACCCACACAGCTCTAGAGGCAGGATGCAGACTCACCCGCACAGATCTAGAGGCAGGATGCAGACTCACCCACACAGCTCTAGAGACAGGATGCAGACTCACCCACACAGATCTAGAGACATGATTGAGACTCACCCACACAGCTCTGGAGGCAGGATGCAGACTCACCCACACAGATCTAGAGGCAGGATGCAGACTCACCCGCACAGATCTAGAGTCAGGATGCAGACTCACCCACACAGCTCTAGAGTCAGGATGCAGACTCACCCTCACAGCTCTAGAGGCAGGACTGAGACTCACCCACACAGCTCTAGAGTCAGGACTGAGACTCACCCACACAGCTCTAGAGGCAAGATGCAGACTCACCCACACAGCTCTAGAGGCAAGATGCAGACTCACCCACACAGCTCTAGAGGCAGGACTCACCCAGCTAGTTTTGGAGGCATGACTAATAATCACCAAGGCTTCTAGAAGCAGGACTCTCAGACTATTAGATTTTCTCTGAGACAACCAAACTCTTTTAATGCAGGTTAAGAGTCACCCAAACTCACCGTGTGAGCTCTAGTTTAGAGGCAGGACTTTCAGACTCATCTAGCTCTTTGAGGCAGGACATTAAGTGTGATAAAGGCACAGATATCTTTTTTTTTTACATTAAGTTGATTTGATTGTTGTTGTTTGTTTTATACCCAAATGATTTATTTGAACTATATAGGCTGTTTTGTTTTGTGTGATGTTGTAAGACCAACCCATGACTTTGGAGATGTTTTTGTTTTCTTTCAGCCATCAATGAGTTCCCTGAGGATATCTTCACCACCTACCAACGCACCAGAGGAGCTGTCCTGCTGCACATATTTGCGGTAGGAGATTAATTTTATGTGTGTTAAACACCATGTGGTTCAGTAAATCAGGCATGTGTTGTCGACTGTGTGTGTGTGTGTGTGTGTGTGTGTGCATGCTTGCGTATATCGGTGCATGTTTCTAGCGTGCGTGTGTCCATCCGTGCACTAATTAGTGGACTAAGAGATTACCCTGCTGTGTCCTGGGCACTTCATCCGGGATAAGTCATGCAGCTCTCTGACAGACAATTTTATGACAATTATAAATATTCTGTCAGCCTTGTGTCGTTGTGGATGACCTGTTATCTTCCTGTCATGTGATGTCCTGGGCTGTGCTGTGAACAACACAGGTTGGTTTGTACCCAGAGCCCTAGGCAGGGCCTGTCATCGCAGCCTTACACAACAAAAGTCACATCAAACATGCATCCTCAGATGACTCTCCTCTCTCTTTGGCAGGAAAAACAACTTTCTACTTTGTGAGGGCAGGATAGAGGATAACAGGACATGTGTACAGTGAGGCTGATATAATTGCATATATTCTAACTCAGTGTTTTTATACAGTAGATTGTTCACTGTGCCCAGGACTATATCCTCTCTAACCCTCTCTCTACTCTCTCTCTTTCTTTCTCTTTCTCCCCCCCTCCCTCTCTCTCTCTCTCTCCTCTTTCCTCCCCCCCCCCCCTCCCCTCCCCCTCTCCCCCTCCCCCTCTCTCTCTCGCTCTCTCTCAGGCCCTTTACATGTTTCTGGCCTTGGCCATCGTCTGCGATGACTACTTTGTGATGTCTTTGGAGAAGATCTGTGAGGTGGGTGAATTGGAGTCCCAATAACATTCTCCTCTAAACCTCCTTCCTCTCCCTATTACGCCAGTGAGGTGTTGATGTGATGTGTTTGTGTGTTGATGGTTAATGTATGAGGCTTCAGTGTGAGACTGTGCTTCTTCCTTCTGTGTGTCTGTCAGAAACTGGACCTGAGTGAAGACGTGGCAGGAGCTACGTTCATGGCTGCTGGCAGCTCAGCACCAGAGCTGTTCGCCTCGATTATAGGTGAGACAGGCTGTCTGATACTCCCACACACACTTACACTGTACAAAACCTGCTTAGATACATGCAGATACATTACCATCAGTAGTATGTAGACTGTGTGTTCAATTCTCCACATTGTATAGGTTTCAGATCAATGTTGTCAAAGAGGTGATCATATTGGGTTGATCTCTCTCTCTCTCTCTCTCTCGGAATATCTATCTCTAGCTCTCTATCTCTCGCTCTATCATCTCTCTCTATCTATCTCTCTCTATCTCTCTCTCTCTCTCTCTCTCTCTCTCTCTCTCTCTCTCTACCTCTCCCTCTCTCTCTACCTACTCTCTATCTCTTCTATTTAAGGGCTTTATTGGCATATGTTAACATTGCCAAAGCAAGTGAAGTAGATAGTAACAAAAGTGAAATAAACAATCAATAAACTATGTGTCTCTAATATGGTCATACATTTTGCAGGATGGTAGGAAGTGCAGCTCAGTTTCCACCTCATTTTGTGGGCAGTGTGCACATAGTCTGTCTTCTCTTGAGAGCCAGGTCTGCCTACGGCGGCCTTTCTCAATAGCAAGGCTATGCTCACTGAGTCTGTACATAGTCAAAGCTTTCCTTAAGTTTGGATCAGTCACAGTGGTCATGTATTCTGCCACTGTGTACTCTCTGTTTAGAGCTAAATAGCATTTTAGTTTGCTCTGTTTTTTTGTTAATTCTTTCCAATGTGTCAAGTAATTCTCTTTTTGTTTTCTCATGATTTGGTTGGGTCTAATCTCTCTCTCTCTCTAAGGTGTGTTTATCACTCATGGAGACGTGGGTGTTGGAACCATAGTGGGTTCAGCAGTATTCAACATTCTATGCATCATCGGTGTGTGCGGAATCTTCGCTGGACAGGTGTGTGTGTTTGCGTGCGTACGATCTCCATGTGCCTCAGTCTGTATTGTTGCACCCTGCCAGAAGGGGACCATTGTGTTAATCACAAATCACACATACTGTATGCTACAACACATGCTATGTTATGCCCAGGGGCGTAGTGCAGTTTTGCGCCAAGCAAGAAGTCTGGGTTTCATCTATTTGTTTCCTGCCCGTGAATTTGATGGCAAATCAGTTCTTTCAACATAGCCAGCTAACAATGCTAGCAAGCTAGCTAACTAGTTAGCTAGTGTGTTTTGATTTGAATACGCCACACTATTTTCTGGTTGTTTCTACGGTCTCCTAACCCATGAGGACGACTGCAATGGATGGCGAGCTGACAGTGATGAATTCATCGCTCAGTCTGAGGATTCCTCTGAAGTTTTGTGCGGTTGTCATAATTTAGTGAGTGGGAACTTCATCTCGTACAAGACCTATGGAGAAGTTGCAGTCAGATGGCGGGGAAGGCGAGGTGCCGGTGAGACGCCTTGAATGGAGAGCGAACTGTGCTGCCTGCCTGCCACTGAAGGACCTGCTCATCTCCCCCTGTTGGCAAACCCCTCCTTCTGCTCAACTGTCACCCCATCTGTTGGATGCTTGAAATTCCCAAAACGTTCAACTCTAGCTGACAGTTGTCATAGTCCAGACCTACTCTCTGTTATGTAGCTACATATATACAGTGGGGAGAACAAGTATTTGATACACTGCCGATTTTTGCAGGTTTTCCTACTTACAAAGCATGTAGAGGTCTGTGATTTTTATCATAGGTACACTTCAACTGTGAGAGACGGAATCTAAAACAAAAATCTAGAAAATCACATGATTTTTAAGTAATTGATTTTCATTTTATTAAATGACATAAGTATTTGATACATCAGAAAAGCAGAACTTAATATTTGGTACAGAAACCTTTGTTTGCAATTACAGAGATCATACGTTTCATGTAGGTCTTGACCAGGTTTGCACACACTGCAGCAGGGATTTTGGCCCACTCCTCCATACAGACCTTCTCCAGATCCTTCAGGTTTCGGGGCTGTCAATGGGCAATACGGACTTTCAGCTCCCTCCAAAGATTTTCTATTGGGTTCAGGTCTGGAGACTGGCTAGGCCACTCCAGGACCTTGAGATGCTTCTTACGGAGCCACTCCTTAGTTGCCCTGGCTGTGTGTTTTGGGTCGTTGTCATGCTGGAAGACCCAGCCACGACCCATCTTCAATGCTCTTACTGAGGGAAGGAGGTTGTTGGCCAAGATCTCGCGATACATGGCCCCATCCATCCTCCCCTCAATACGGTGCAGTCGTCCTGTCCCCTTTGCAGAAAAGCATCCCCAAAGAATGATGTTTCCACCTCCATGCTTCAGGGTTGGGATGGTGTTCTTGGGGTTGTACTCATCCTTCTTCTTCCTCCAAACACGGCGAGTGGAGTTTAGACCAAAAAGCTCTATTTTTGTCTCATCAGACCACATGACCTTCTCCCATTACTCCTCTGGATCATCCAGATGGTCATTGGCAAACTTCAGACGGGCCTGGACATGTGCTGGCTTGAGCAGGGGGACCTTGCGTGCGCTGCAGGATTTTAATCCATGACGGCGTAGTGTGTTACTAATGGTTCTTTGAGACTGTGGTCCCAGCTCTCTTCAGGTCATTGACCAGGTCCTGCCGTGTAGTTCTGGGCTGATCCCTCACCTTCCTCATGATCATTTATGCCCCACGAGGTGAGATCTTGCATGGAGCCCCAGACCGAGAGTGATTGACCGTCATCTTGAACTTCTTCCATTTTCTAATAATTGCGCCAACAGTTGTTGCCTTCTCACCAAGCTGCTTGCCTATTGTCCTGTAGCCCATCCCAGCCTTGTGCAGGTCTACAATTGTATCCCTGATGTCCTTACACAGCTCTCTGGTCTTGGCCATTGTGGAGAGGTTGGAGTCTGTTTGATTGAGTGTGTGGACAGGTGTCTTTTATACAGGTAACGAGTTCAAACAGGTGCAGTTAATACAGGTAATGAGTGGAGAACAGGAGGGCTTCTTAAAGAAAAACTAACATATCTGTGAGAGCCGGAATTCTTACTGGTTGGTAGATGATCAAATACTTATGTCATGCAATAAAATGCAAATTAATTACTTAAAAATCATACAATGTGATTTTCTAGATTTTTGTTTTAGATTCCGTCTCTCACAGTTGAAGTGTACCTATGATAAAAATTACAGACCTCTACATGCTTTGTAAATAGGAAAACCTGCAAAATCGGCAGTGTATCAAATACTTGTTCTCCCCACTGTATTTTATTTTCAAGCGCTTTGAGATTATTTTTGTAATGAAAAGCGCTATAGAAGCTGAATAAATTATTATTATTATGAGGCTAAGGACGTGCACAAAAGGAATGTGAAATCTCTCTCTCTCTCTCTCTCTCTCTCTCTCCCTCTCTCTCTCTCTCTCCCCTCTAGGTGGTGTATCTGACTAAGTTTGCAGTGTTCCGTGACTCGCTCTACTACACTCTGTCTGTGTTGGCATTGATTGCAGTGAGTAGCTGATCATCTCATCTCTAGTCTACATTACATAATGAGGCCATTCAGACTGATAGAGCCCCCAATGGCTGTTTAACCTTAATTTACTAACTGTCTAGGCTACTGGGCTAATAAAGGGTTGTGGGAAGGAGATGGTCAAGCAGCTGCTTGTGTGTCTGTGTGTGTGTGCGTGTGTGTTTCTGGGACTCTCTGTAATATAGAAAGAACTGGGCCCATATCTACAGTTGAAGTCAGAAGTTTACATACACCTCAGCCAAATACATTTAAACTTAGTTTTTCACAATTCCTGACATTTAATCCTAGTAAAACTTCCCTGTCTTAGGTCAGTTAGGATCACCACTTTATTTTAAGAATGTGAAATGTCAGAATAATAGTAGAGAGAATGATTTCTTTCAGCTTTTATTTCTTTCATCACATTCCCAGTGGGTCAGAAGTTTACATACACTCAATTAGTATTTGGTAGAATTGCCTTTAAATTGTTTAACTTGGGTCAATAAGTTGGGTGAATGTTGGCCCATTCCTCCTGACAGAGCTGGTGTAACTGAGTCAGGTTTGTAGGCCTCCTTGCTCGCACACGCTTTTTCAGTTTTGCCCACACATTTTCTATAGGACTGAGGTCAGGGCTTTGTGATGACCACTCCAATACCTTGACTTTGTTGTCCTTAAGCCATTTTTCCACAACTTTGTAAGTATGCTTGGGGTCATTGTCCATTTGGAAGACCCATTTGTGACCAAGCTTTAACTTCCTGACTGATGTCTTGAGATGTTGCTTCAATATATCCATATAATTTTCCTTCCTCATGATGCCATCTATTTTGTGACGTGCACCAGTCCCTCCTGCAGCTAGGCACCCCCACAGCATGATGCTGCCACCCTCGTGCTTCACGGTTGGGATGCTGTTCTTCGGCTTGCAAGCTTTCCCTTTTTCCTCCAAACATAATGATGGTCATTATGGCCAAACAGTTCTATTTTTGTTTCATCAGACCAGAGGACATTTCTCCAAAACGTACGATCTTTGTCCCCATGTGCAGTTGCAAACCGTAGTGTAGCTTTTTTATGGCGGTTTTGGAGCAGTGGCTTCTTCCTTGCTGAGCGGCCTTTCAGGTTATGTCGATATAGGACTCGTTTTACTGTGAATATAGATACTTATGTACCTGTTTCCTCCAGCATCTTCACAAGGTCCTTTGCTGTTGTTCTGGGATTGATTTGCACTTTTCGCACCAAAGTACGTTCATCTCTGGGAGACAGAACGCGTCTCCTTCCTGAGCGATATGACGGCTTTTGAAGGTAGGCCTTGAAATACATCCACAGGTACACCTCCAATTGATAATGTCAATTAGCAATAAATAATGTCAATTAGCCTATCAGAAGCTTCTAAAGCCATGACATCATTTTCTGGAATTTTCTAAGCTGTTTAAAGGCACAGTCAACTTAGTGTATGTAAACTTCTGACCGACTGGAATTGTGATACAGTGAATAATAATTGAAATAATCTGTCTGTAAACAATTGTTGGAAAAATTACTTGTGTCATGCGCAAGGTACATGTCCTAACCGACTTGCCAAAACTATAGCTTGTTAACAAGACATTTGTGGAGTGGTTGAAAAACAAGTTTTAATGACTCCAACCTAAGTGTATGTAAACTTCCAACTTCAACTGTATACACCTGTTCTGAAAGGCCCCAGAGTCTGCAACACCACTAAGCAAGGGGCACCACCAAGCAAGCGGACCCATGAAGACCAAGGAGCTCTCCAAACAGGTCTTGGACAAAGTTGTGGAGAAGTACAGATCAGGGTTGGGTTATAAAAAAATATCAGAAACTTTGAACATCCCACGGAGCACCATTAAATCCAGTATTCAAAAATGGAAAGAATATGGCACCACAACAAACCTGCCAAGAGAGGGCCGCCCACCAAAACTCACGGACCAGGCAAGGAGGGCATTAATCAGAGAGGCAACAAAGAGACCAAAGATAACCCTGAAGGAGCTGCAAAGCTCCACAGCAGAGATTGGATTATCTGTCCATAGGACCACTTTAAGCCGTACACTCCACAGAGCTGGGCTTTACGGAAGAGTGGCCAGAAAAAAGCCATTGCTTAAAGAAAAAAATAAGCAAACACGTTTGGTGTTCGCCAAAAGGCATGTGGGAGACTCCCCAAACATATGGAAGAAGGTACTCTGGTCAGATGAGACTAAAATTGAGTTTTTTGGCCATCAAGAAAAATGTCTGGCGCAAACCCAACCCTTCTCATCACCCCGAGAACACCATCCCCACAGTGAAGCATGGTGGTGGCAGCATCATGCTGTGGGGATGTTTTTCATCGGCAGGGACTGGGAAACTGGTCAGAATTGAAGGAATGATGGATGGCACTAATTATAGGGAATTACTTGAGGGAAACCTGTTTCAGTCTTCCAGAGATTTGAGACTGGGACGGAGGTTCACTTTCCAGCAGGACAATGACCCTAAGCATACTGCTAAAGCAACACTTGAGTGGTTTAAGGGGAAACATTTAAATGTCTTGGAATGGCCTAGTCAAAGCCCAGACCTCAATCCAATTGAGAATCTGTGGTATGACCATCCAACTTGAAGGAGCTGGAGCAGTTTTGCCTTGAAGAATGGGCAGAAATCCCAGTGGCTAGATGTGCCAAGTTTATAGAGACATACCCCAAGAGACTTGCAGCTGTAATTGCTGAAAAAGGTGGCTCTACAAAGTATTGACTTTGGGGGGGGTGAATAGTTATGCACGCCCAAGTTTTCAGTTTTTTTTTGTCTTATTTCTTGTTTGTTTCACGAGAAAAAATATTTTGCATCTTCAAAGTGGTAGGCATGTTGTGTAAATCAAATGATACAAACCCCCCAAAAATCCATTTTAATTCCAGGTTGTAAGGCAACAAAATATGAAAAATTCCAAGGGGGTGAATACTTTTGCAAGCCACTGTAGAGGCCCAGCGGCCTGATAGACAGATCATCATGAGAATAAGGGAGTACAGAGAGAGAAAGCAGAGGAGAAAGGGAGACCCACAGAGAGAGGGAGACAGAGAGAAAGAGAGGGAGAGAGAGGGGGAGAGATGGCCTGGAGATCTCACAGAGACTTCAGAAACTCACTTCATACTGTGTCATTGCTTTTATAGCAAACAGTGTACAGGAAATGTTTTTTGACTGTGTTACTTTCTCATAGCATCTGTCTGACAGTAACTAGACATACTTGATGCATCGCGACTTTCAAGTTTTTCTAAGTTAGAGTTTCGATAAAATATAAAAATATGAGTTTCTTGATAACAAAAATAAAAGTTGATGCTCATCTTCCTAAAAATATGTACTGTCTAATTTATGTATTTTTTTGTTAAAATGTTTCCCTCTTTCATTTTCTCAGTTCATCTATGATGAGAAGATAGTGTGGTGAGTACCCTGCTGTGTGTCTCAGCAGTGTGTGTGTGTGTGTGCCTGCAGACATGTGACTCTACTCTGTCTGTCTCTGCAGGTGGGAGAGCTTAGTGCTGGTAGTGATGTACTTTGGGTACATTCTGATTATGAAGTGAGTTCCACTGGGACCTGTTCCTTCCTGTCTCAAAGACACACACGCACACACACACACACACACACACACACACACTAGAGCACCTGAGCACACGCAACAAATAGTAAAATCCACATATATACTCATACTTTGCACACACTAAGTTACATAAACTCTCAACTGAATATGTAAAACCTTTTCTCGTTTCTCCCATCAGATTTAACACCAGCATCCAGAACTATTTCTCAGGGAAGGAAGACAAGAGCTTGGCCAACGGTAACACGGTGATCAGCAGCGAGCTGGAGGATGGTAATGCTTGTTATGACAGTTACATATGGGATGATCCATCCAAGCCGTTACTCTCTCCAGGTAAAGGTAACCAGACAGGCTTTATGGTCACCTCTCAGCCAACACTGGCACTCTGACCGGCCTTCTATCAAAACAACTACTCTACTGTATCTGGTTGTTCTAGAAAACCTAGAAACTACTCTCAGCCCCTACTCTTGGCTCTTCCTATCTGGTTTAACAGTCCTCTCCACTTTGGCTTGATGTCATTCGTACCCCTTTGTAAACTCTTAGCACTGATCCTTCAAACAGAGTTACATAAATATCTTCTCTATAACTATTTTAGACTTCCACCGACTTTCACTGTATCTTTCACCGAGTGACTCTGAGAGCTCTCCTCTCCTGCCTGGTCTAGTAGAAACAAGCTAACCTCCCTGCTGCCGTGTGGCAGCCCTGTCGCTACTGTAGCGAAGCCTGTCTGTTTAGCCTTACTAAACCTACCTGCCTGCCGTCACCTGGTCTGTCAGCTGTATCGCTGTGCCGTGTAGTGATGTGTAATGTCGTGCTGAGCTGTGCTATGCTGTGCCCTGTCTCGCCCTCTTCTGCTGTGTCAAGTACAGTCCATTATTCCAGAGTCACAACATGTGCACGCATGTTGTGTGTGTTTTGGTGTTGGTGCGTGTGTGTGTGTGCGTGGAGACATTTGTATGTGTGTGTGACTGTGTGTATGGTATGTGTGTGTGACTGTGTGTATGGTGTGTGTGTGACTGTGGACAGTGCCTTCAGAAAGTATTCAGACCCCTTGACTTTTTCCACATTTTGTTACGTTACAGCCTTATTCTGAAATTGATTAAAAATATATATACACACACACAGAATACCCCATAATGATGAAGCAAAAACTGTTTTTTAGACATTTTTGCTAATTTATAACAAATAAAAAACTTAAATATTACATTTACATAAGTATTCAGACCCTTTACTCAGTACTTTGTTGAAGCACCTTTGGCAGCGATTACAGCATAGAGTCTTCTTGGGTATGACGCTACAAGCTTGGCACACCTGTATTTGGGGAGTTTCTCCCATTCTTCTCTGCAGATCCTCTCAAGCTCTGTCAGGTTGGATGGTTGTCCTTCTGGAAGGTTCCACCATCTCCACAGAGGAACTCTAGAGTCCTGTCAGAGTGACCATCGGGTTCTTGGTCACCTCCCTGACCAAGGCCCTTCTCCCCTGATTGCTCAGCGATTACAGCATCAAGTCTTCTTGGGTATGACGCTACAAGCTTGGCACACCTGTATTTGGGGAGTTTCTCCCATTCTTCTCTGCAGATCCTCTCAAGCTCTGTCAGGTTGGATGGGGAGCGTCGCTGCACAGCTATTTTCAGGTCTCTCCAGTGATGTTCGATCGGGTTCAAGTCCGGGCTCTGGCTGGGCCACTCAAGGACATTAAGAGACTTGTCCTGAAGCCACTCCTGCGTTGTCTTGGCTGTGTGCTTAGGGTCGTTGTCCTGTTGTAAGGTGAACCTTTGCCTCAGTCTGAAGTCCTGAGCACTCTGGAGCAGGTTTTCATCAAGGATCTCTCTGTACTTTGCTCTGTTAATCTTTGCCTTGATCCTGACTAGTCTCCCAGTCCCTGCCACTGAAAAACATCCCCACAGCCTGATGCTGCCACCACCATGCTTCACCGTAGGGATGGTGCCAGGTTTCCTCCAGACGTGACGCTTGGCATTCAGGCCAAAGAGTTCAATCTTGGTTTCATCAGACCAGAGAATCTTGTTTTTAATGGTCTGAGAGTCTTTAGGTGCCTTTTGGCAATCTCCAAGCGGTCTGTCATGTGCCTTTTACTGAGGAGTTGCATCTGTCTGGCCACTCTACCATAAAGGCCTGATTGGTGGAGTGCTGCAGAGATGGTTGTCCTTCTGGAAGGTTCTACCATCTCCACAGAGGAACTCTAGAGCTCTGTCAGAGTGACCATCGGGTTCTTGGTCACCTCCCTGACCAAGGCCCTTCTCCCCTGATTGCTCAGTTTGGCCAGGCGGCCAGCTCTAGGAAGTCTTGGTGGTTCCAAACTTCTTCTATTTAAGAATGATGGAGGCCACTGTGTTCTTGGGGACCTTCAATGCTGCAGAATTTTTTTGGTACCCTTCCCCAGATCTGTGCCTCGACACAATCCTGTCTCGGAGCTCTACGGACAATTCCTTCGACCTCATGGCTTGGTTTTTGTGAGATCAATTGAATTTTCCACAGGTGGACTCCAATCAAGTTGTAGAAACATCTCAAGGATGATCATTGGAAACAGGATACATCTGAGCTCAATTTCGAGTCTCATAGCAAAGGGTCTGAATACTTATGTAAATAAGGTATTTCTGTTTAGTTTTTTTAGAAATGTGCAAACATTTCTACAAACCTGTTTTCGCTTTGTCATTTTGGAGTATTGTGTGTAGATTTCAGAGGATTTTTAATTATTTAATCTATTTTAGAATAAGGCTGTAACGTAACAAAATGTGGAAAAGGGGAAGGGGTCTGAATACTTTCCAAAGGCACTGTATATGTCACACACACACGCTGAAGGTTTTAGTGTGCCTCACTCTGGTGGCTGATGATCTCATCTGACAGTGTCTTCAGGGGGCCTTCAATGGGCCTTGAACTGGGCTCAGTGGGGCCCATTCTGCTGTCACACCAACACTTTAATTACACCTCCTGACATACTGTATCTTCTGGCTGTTTCAAGTTTTCAAATTTCAAGTTTTAATGTCACGTGCACAAGTACAGTGAAATGCCTTTCTTGCAAGCTCCAACCCCAACAATGCAGTAATCAATATCAATGCAGCACTAAAAATAACATAAGGTAGAACAAAAACACAGGAAATAAAAATAAGAAATAAGAAGAACACGAGAAAGTAAGAAGCTGGTGTGTGTTTAAGTGTCTGTGTGTGTCTGTGTGTGTATGTGTGTGTGTGCATGCGTTTGTGTGTGTGTGTGTGTGTGTGTTTGTGTGTGGGTGTGCGTGCGTGCGTGAGAGAGAGAGAGTCTGCTGGTCTGGCATGTGGGTGTATTAGGCACGTGTGTCTGGCCATCCTTGAAAAAGGCATGTCCTTTGTGGTTGTGTAAGAGTAGAACAGCATGTCTTTTTCTTCTTCTTCTTCTGGTTGGTTGGTGTGTACAGTTAGTCCTACTTGATGTGTCTGTCTGTGCTCTGTATCTCACCATCTCTGTGTATCTCCAGTGAAGCCCACTAAGAGGTACAGTCGTGGCTCTGTAGTGATGGTGGATGAGATTATTAACTCCAGCCCTCCTAATTACCGTTTCCCCGACGCCGGCCTGCGCATCATGATCACCAACCACTTTGGCCCCAAGACACGCCTCCGCATGGCTAGCCGCCTCATCATCAATGAGGTGGGTGAGGTCACTGGGGTCAGGGGTCAGTCAGGCTTATTGGAGAGGAGCTCAGTAAAAGTGATTTACTTAGAAGTTAAGAAAGCTTGGCTAGTTCAGTTAGTTTACTAGTGTACCGGTAGTAAGCTAGGCCTACTGGAGAAAAGTACATTGTAGGACGATTTACTAGAAAGCTAGGAGAGGAGAGGAGTACAGTTTAGAGTGATAATTAGCCGGTGGACTGCATGCTTTAATCATCCTTGGCACATCATATGATCACTGTTTGTGTCTGTTTTGGTGAAAATATCCTGGGAGATATTCATAAAACTTTACTAGCTCATAAAGTCACTGTTTACAGAGGGGAAACACATACATATTCCATGAAGCATGCGGGCCAGTACATCAGTTGACTGTGTGTGTGTGTGTCTGTGTGTGCGTGTGTGTGTGAGCAGCAACAGAGGTTGGTGCAGGCGTCTAACGGTGTGGACAACGTGACCATGGTGATCACTGATGGTAAACCTGAGACCTTGGAGAACGGCACCGTACCAGAGGACAAAACTGTTGAGGAAGAGGAGGGAGAAGCCCTGAATTCACCCTTCACCGTCCCTGGTGAGTGTGTGTGTGTGTGCATGTATTTGACCTAGATAGTTTGTGTGTATGTATTGATATGTAGGCTACGTGTGCCTTTAAAAAAAAATATGTATGTAATTCTGTCCTTGAGCTGTTCTTGTCTATTAATGTTCTGTATTATCTCATGTTTCATATTTTGTGTGGACCCCAGGAAGAGTAGCTGCTGCTTTTGCAACAGCTAATGGGGATCCTAATAAAATACCAATGTATGTTTGTTATATATTTAATTACATTTGGCTGGTAGACCAATAAACTACTTTTACACACCCTACTGAAACTTAACACTCACCTCCTCAGTGTACTCCATTGGTTGTGATGAAGCTGTGCTGCTGTTCCTTGTTCCCTCCACAAGGGGGCTGCATGGAAACAGTGAAGTGGCTGATCTCCTGGCCCATCCTGCTGCTACTCTACTTCACTGTGCCAAACTGTGCCAAGCCTCGCTGGGAACGCTTCTTCATGCTCTCCTTCTTCCTCGCCACCGTGTGGATCGCTGTCTTCTCCTACTTCATGGTCTGGATGGTGAGACACATTGGAGATTCTTTAGAACTTACATGTCACTGTCATTTTGTGTTCCAAACCAGAGTTGAAATGGTTTGAACTTTATACAAATTATCAGTGATGAGACGTCCTGATAACCAATCAGTTAGGGAATCTCTCTCTTCTAGTTGCTAGCTAGCTTTGACACTGTGCTGGATATAGGCTACCAACCAAGGTGCATGCTATTTGGAAGATTTCTGTTTAATCCGTTAAATGTGTGTCTGTGTGTGCAGGTCACCATAATTGGCTCCACTCTGGGCATCCCTGATGTGATTATGGGAATCACCTTCCTGGCAGCTGGCACCAGTGTCCCTGACTGTATCGCTAGCCTCATCGTTGCTCGGCAGGGTACATCACTGCACTCTCTTTTTCCCTATCTCTGTCTCTCTCTCTCTCGCTCTTCAAAATCTTCTAAAAAAATGTTGTACCAATGTACAGTATACTGTAAAGTCTGTACAGAATTGTCCATATCGTTATGTCCATCTCTCTATAGGTCTTGGGGATATGGCGGTTTCCAACACCATTGGTAGTAATGTCTTTGATATCTTGGTGGGACTGGGGCTCCCCTGGGCGATACAGACCATGGCTGTGGACTATGGCTCTGAGGTAAAGGAAGTACATCCAGGAACTCAGTCTTTACACTGTTTTCCCCCCAATGGGCCTATGTTACTACTGCTTATCAATACCTCATGACTCTTGATCTTGATCTAAAATTCTCTCTCTCTCTCTAGGTGATGATCAGTAGCAGAGGGCTGGTGTACTCTGTGGTGCTTCTTCTGGGCTCTGTGTTTCTGACAGTGAGTTAAAGGAGACGTCTCTCTCGCTATCTTTCTCTCTCTCTCTCTAACACTCCCTCCCTCTGTATCCTGCAGGTTCTGGGGATCCATGTGAATCATTGGAAGTTGGACCTTAAGCTGGGTGTGTACGTGCTGGTGATGTACGTCATCTTCCTGTGTTTCTCCATCATGATCGAGTACAACGTGTTCACCTTCGTCAATCTGCCCATGTGTCTGGAGCAGCTGTAGGACGGCCTACACCACCGGACAGGTGTCCCTGCTGAATTATAGACTCACACAGCCCTCTGGATCTAAACTTAATCACTAACTAACTAACTAAATAATTGATATCCTGAAATCCCTATCCCCCACACACATGCACTACCGGTCAAAAGTTTTAGAACACCTACTCATTCAAGGGTTTTTCTTTATTTGTACTATTTTCTACATTGTAGAATAATAGTGAAGACATCAAAACTATGGAATAACACATATGGAATCATGTAGTAACCAAAAAAGTGTTAAATCAAAATATATTTTATATTTGAGATTCTTCAAATAGCCACCCTTTGCCTTGATGAAAGCTTTGCACACTCTTGGCATTCTCTCAACCAGCTTCACCTGGAATGCTTTTCCAACAGTCTTGAAGGAGTTCCTACATATATTGAGCACTTGTTGGCTGCTTTTCCTTCACTCTGCGGTCCGATTCATCCCAAACTATCTCAATTTGGTTGAGGTCGGGGGATTGTGGAGGCCAGGTCATCTGATGCAGCTCTCATCACTCTCCTTGGTAAAATAGCTCTTACACAGCCTGGAGGTGTGTTGGGTCATTGTCCTGTTGAAAAACAAAGGATAGTCCCACTAAGCCCAAACCAGATGGGATGGCGTATTGCTGCAGAATGCTGTGGTAGCCATGCTGGTTAAGTGTGCCTTGAATTCTAAATAAATTACAGACAGTGTTACCAGCAAAGCACCCCCACAACATAACACCTCCTCCTCCATGCATTACGGTGGGAAATGCACATGCAGAGATCATCCGTTCACCCACACTGCGTCTCTAAAGACACGGCGGTTGGAACCAAAAATCTCAAATTTGGACTCCAGACCAAAGGACACATTTCCACCGGTCTAATGTCCATTGCTCGAGTTTCTTGGCCCAAGCAAGTCTCTTCTTATTATTGGTGTCCTTTAGTAGTGGTTTCTTTGCAGCAATTCGACCATGAAGGCCTGATTCACACAGTGTCCTCTGAACAGTTGATGTTGAGATGTGTCTGTTACTTGAACTCTGTGAAGCATTTATTTGGGCTGCAATTTCTGAGGCTGGTAACTCTAATGAACTTATCCTCTACAGCAGAGGTAACTCTGGGTCTTCCATTCCTGTGGCGGTCCTCATGAGAGCCAGTTTCATCATAGCGCTTGATGGTTTTTGCGACTGCAGTTAAAGAAATGTTAAAAGTTCTTGAAATGTTCCATATTGATTGATCTTCATGTCTGAAAGTAATGATGGGCTGTCGTTTCTCTTTGTTTATTTGAGCTGTTCTTGCCATAATATGGACTTAGCCCTATTTGGTAAAAGACCATATTCTGTATACCCTCCCCCTACCTTGTCACAACACAACTGATTGGCTCAAACGCATTAAGAAGGAAATACATTCCACAAATTAACTTTTAAGAAGGCACACCTGTTAATTTAAATGCATTCCAGGTGACTACCTAATGAAGCTGGTTGAGAGAATGCCAAGAGTGTGCAAAGCTGTCATCAAAGCAAAGGGTGGCTATTTGAAAAATCTAAAAACAAATGTATTTTGATTTGTTTAACACTTTTTTGGTTACTACATGAGTCCATGTGTGTTATTTCATAGTTTTGATGTCTTCACTATTATTCTACAATATAGAAAATAGTAAAAATAAAGAAAAACCCTTAAATGAGTAGGTGTTCTAAAACTTTTGACTGGTAGTGTACACTCCTTTTACATTCACACATACACTCCTTTTACACACCCATTTTTCATTCCAGACATAACTGTCTGCCCTTGATATATCCCTTTTCCATTCCTTCACTATCTATCGATAATGTAGAGATCCCTAGATACATACATTCATCCTCAATGTCCTCAGTTCCCCAAACACTCTCCCTACATGTTTTTCTGCTCTCAATGAGAAGAGGAGATACCAACAGAACCGTATGGATGCTCCTTACTAACCCAGAACTCAACTCACCGTCCGATGGAGAGATACACAGCTCACCTCTACACAGAACCCATCTTGCTGAAACCCTCCTAGTCTTCACAACATAACCCAGAACCAGCATTACACTACCGTCCTCCTCTGTTTGTATCTCATCCGGTCTCTGAAATAATTTTTTGGGTCAGGCAGCTCACCAGCCTCCATCCCTACTAAAGAAAGGACCAGAGCATTTATGAATTCTTCATTTATTGCCATTTTGATTGATTCTATTATCTTCTTCCTTTGGAAGTAAAACAAACATACATTTCATGAACATACTGCACTTTAGATGTTGCGCGTGAAAATAAGTAGAGTATATATGACATAATATATTATATTTTTCGGTTCAACGTTACAGTTCTTCCTTTGTGTGGTGCAATAAGAAGAGGGAGAGGGAGGAGAGGCAGCATGTGCCAAGTCCTCTCTCTCTCGCTGGCAGGAAGAAGAGAGTCCAGGGGAGAACCTGTGCTTCTTCTGTTTCTGGACACTCCAACTGCTGACCAACACTTTGATATGCCGTGTTTGAGTGTGAGTGAAAGTAGGTGAGAGATTGCAAGGAAGGGAATTGAGTCTCCTCTATTAGTATTCAGCACCACTGTGGAGAGGAGAACACATCTTGGAAGACTATGACCCCATTGGTGCTTGGTGGATGGTGATTTAACACAAAGCTCAAGTGTACAGTGGCTGAGGAAAAGCATGGATTTATTTGTGTGTACTGTAGGTTGGAGTGCCCGAGCCAGGCTCGTCCTCCTGTGTCATGTTGATTTGTTTTGATTGAATAATTGTGTGTTTGATATCTTCAGCTCCTTCAGCTTGTGTTCTGTCTGAGGCTTGTTCCCATTCAGTTTCCTCTCCTCCCTGAGCTCCAGCCTGTCCGTCTCAGCGGGTTGAAGAGCTGCTGCTGCTGTTTTGGGTCTGTGCTGCACAATGGTACACTTCTTTGTTGTGTGTTTGTTTATATATAAATACGACTTGTCATGCACAAGCTGAGGTTCTCTCGTTGGTAACCCAGTGCTACCTTACTTCTGCCAGTCGGGCAAGGCGGGGCAGGCGGGATGCAGTTCCTGTGTAGATATTTTAAACTGCTTCCGTCTCTCCCCTACCCTGCTCCAAATCCTCCTCCTCCTCTTCCTCCGCCTCCTCACTTCTCTTCATCCTCCTGGCTCTCTCTCATTGTGATTTTGTCTTCTCTAAATGCATGATGTGACGTTTATTTATTTCTCCCGCTGAGCAGAAACTTAGCGGGATGGGATGGGATCACTACCCTGTCCGTCCATCGACCTCCAAATATTGGCAGCTACGAGTCGAGTTGCCCTCTGCCCATCTGACTGACCTCGTTAAAGGTCGTGTTCATCAGGGCACACAATGGAAAACGCTTTAAACCGAAAAATAGTGTTTCTTATTGGACAAGTCTAGGTAGTTGCTCCCTGTTTCAGTCCGTTTTCTTCCGTGTGGTGCCTAATGAACACAACCCAGTTCAGGGGTCACTGTGGGAGCAGAGGGTGGAGTCTGTGTCAGTCGTGACTGTTTGGGTGTTGCTGGTGTTTCAATGTTGAAAAGTGCCGTCACTGTTTTCCATGTTAAAAGGCAGACGTCGGATGCAGTGTGTGGTATATACACTCAGTGGCTAGTTTATTAGGTACACCACTCTGTTCACGAAAATGGTTTGCTCCTACAGACAGTGAGTCACTTGGCCATGGCTTGCCATATAAAACAGGCAGACAGGCAGACAGGCATCGAGGCATTCAGTTACTGTTCGATTGAACGTTAAAATTGGGCAAAACTAGTGCCCTAAGCGACTTTGAGCATGGTATGATCGTCGGTGCCAAGTGCGCCGGTTCTGGTATCTCAGAAACGGCCAGCCTCCTGTGCTTTTCACACACGACAGTCTAGGGTTTACCGAGAATGGTGCGACAAACAAAAAACATCCAGTCAGCATCAGTCCTGTGGGCAAAAACAGCTCGTTGATGAGAGGTTGAAGTAGAATGGCAAGAATCGTGCAAGCTAACAGGCGGGCCACAAACAGGCAAATAACGGCGCAGTACAACAGTGGTGTGCAGAATGGCATCTCAGAACACACAACTCTTCGGTCCTTGTCAAGGATGGGCAATTGCAGCAGACGACCTCACCAGGTTCTACTCTTATCAACTAAAAACAAGAAGAAGCGGCTCCAGTGGGCACACAATTACCAACACTGGACAATTGAGGAGTGGAAAAACATCACCTGGTCCGACAAATCCCGGTTCCTGTTGTGTCATACTGATAGCAGAGTCAGGATTTGACGTAAGAAGCATGAGTCCATGGCCTCATCCTGCCTGGTGTCAACGGTACAGGCTGGTGGCGGTGGTGTAATGGTGTGGGGACTGTTTTCCTGGCCCACATTAGGTCCCTTGATACCAATTGAGCAACGTTTCTATGCCCCGAAGGATTCAGGCTGTTCTGGAGGCAAAGGGGGTCCGACCCGGTACTAGATGGGTGTAACTAATAAACTAGCCACTGAGTGTATTATATAAAAACATGTATGCAATCTCAATTAAAAGAGGACCAGGTAAGGATGGTAAAGTATATTATGCATTTGAGAAAAAATTGTTGTTTTATTGAAGCTGCTGAAAGCATTGATACTATACAAGTAAATGCACTTATGCACACACACATATGCATGCACAAAACACACACAAACACACACTTGTCAAATGTTTACTCCCCATGCCCAAAGACACACACACACACTTTTCAAATGTTTACTCCCATGCTCACACAAGCGATCACACACACACACACAAACTACATTAATGTTCTTGTCTCAGTGGTAGTAACTGGTGCAATGATAAATGATAAGTGATGATCTGATGTGTCAGGAGGGTAATGTCAGTGTTGAACGAAAGCCAGATTAATGTTGCTAAGGTCTGTTCACTTCTGGTCTAAGTTATGATATCACCTACATCTTAGTTGCATGGTAAATAAACAAACAAACAGTGGGCGGGCTCTCTAGTACTGGTCAGGGTCATGTTCATTACAGCACGCAATGGAAATCATTTTGCAACAGAAACTAAAATGATAATTTCTTATTGGACATGTTTCAGTCAATTTCTTCAATTTGGTGCCTAATGAACACGACCCTGGTGTGTTAAAGGCAGGTGGTATAAGACAATGGTGCCCTGCCTGTGCCCTGGATATTTGTCCATCCTCTAACAGTCTCATTGATGTCTTGTGTTTTATACTGTACTGTATATACTTATTGGAACTGGGATGGGAGCCTCTACTCGTGTATTTGTCTTGTGCAACTCTTCTTAACTCCAAGACACAAACATTTCACATTTTGAAAATTGATCTTGGAAAAAGTAGCCATATGTTTTAAAATCACACTTGATTTATTCCATCCCTAAAGCGTTCTACTCATGTCATGAAAATAATATAATTTTGTGCCATGGGTTTTAGTTGTTATCACATATGAACTAAGGGATATGTGATTAACAATACATTAGCAGATCTCTGGTGACAATAATTCATTGTCACCAGGTGGGGCTGAGGGTCTCCTGTAGGATCATATCCATGTTGTCAGTAAACAAACAACGCACTGATGTTTATCATAGCTCTATAAACAGTGTCATATCTTACTAGATACCCACTGCGGTTGTTTTATACCTTTGTCAAAGAGAAACTTTGAGAGGAAGTCACCATTACACTTGACTGCACTGTATGGCATGCATGAACACAACACAACACACACACACTTGTTCATTGCTCTCATACACACACACACACACACACCTACTTTGGCTCTGTTGTTACACACACAATTATGTGAGACTTGAGTGAATGTGACCTGGTTCACTGTGAGCAAAGGGACGTAAGGTCATTCATCCAAATTGATAAAAGGTAGGCTATAGAGTTATTACAAAAACAACTTCAATTTAAGACATTAGTGTGTAACTTGAATGTATTTGTCTTGCTATAAATGGATGTATCCAACCAATGCATTTTACTGTAAAGCAATAATCAAAAGACTTCAAAATAATTATGTATATTGTTATATGATTCATGATTATGAGATGGATGACACATTAAATAATACTGTTTATAAATGCCTACTGTTCTCTTTAAATTGCTTTCTTTGATCCTACAATGCGTACTTATACTGAACAAAAATATAAACCCAACATGTAAAGTGTTGTTCCCATGTTGCATGAGCTGAAATAAAAGATCCCAGAAATGTTCCATATACACAAAAAGCTTATTTATCTCAAATGTTGTGCACAAATTTGTTTACATCCCTGTTAGTGAGCATTTCTCAATGGCCAAGATAATCCATCCACCTGACAGGTGTGGTATATCAAGAAGCTGATTAAATAGCATGATCATCACCTTGTGCTGGGGACAATAAAAGGCCACTTTAAAATGTGCAGTTTTGTCACACAACACAATGCCACAGATGTCTCAAGTTTTGAGGGAGCGCACAATTGGCATGCTGACTGCAGAAATGTCCACCAGAGATGTTGCCAGAGATTTGAATGTTAATTTCTCTACCGTAAGCTGCCTCCAACGTCGTTTTAGAGAATTTGGCAGTACGTCCAACCGGCCTCACAATCGCAGACCACGTGTAACCACGCCAGCCCAGGACCTCCACAACTGAGGAGTATTTCTGTTTATAATAAAGCCCTTTAGTGGGGAAAAACTCATTCTGATTGGCTGGGCCTGGCTCCCCAGTGGGTGGGCCTGGCTCCCAAATGGGTCAGCCTATACCCTCCCAGGCCCACCTATAGCTGTGCCCCTGCCCAGTCAAGTGAAATCCATAGATTAGGGCCTAATGCTTTTATTTCAATTAACTGCTTTCCTTATATGAACTGTAACTCAGTAAAATCGTTGAAATTGTGGCATTTTTCTTCAATATATTTTATGGGTGATGACTAGAATGAGTTAAAGATGCACTATGCAGAAATCGCTCCACCATTTCCTGGTTGCTAAAATTCTAATAGTTTGTCTAATTTAAGTTTATGTGGCAAAACAAGCAAGTAAAGTGTAGAGAATCATTGTACCATCTAAATATATTTTCCATAACGAAAAATATCGTATTTTCAGCTACTTGAAGCTAGTGCACAAAACCCAAAGTAAAAGACGCAAAAACTAAATTTAAGAACAAGAAGCATAGAAATAACGCACATAGAACAGATCTACCGCTTCTTAGACTTGCTTTCAATGAAAATGACAGATCTATTACTCACTCTTCGGTTTAAATTGTTACGAAATTGGGTCCCACTGTGAGATATCTGACCCAGTTTTGCCTATATTCTCGCGAGAAGAAAACCCAAACAGAGAAAACACCCAAGGTCAGTAGTCGTCACTATTTACCACAGTCCAAAGTCATAAACCCCGCCTATTTCTACACTTTCTCTTCTTAAAATGTGATTTTAAACCTAACCACACTGCTAACCTTATGCCTAATCTATCCCTAAATTAATTTTAAAAAGGGGATTTTTGTTTTTATGCATTTTTACGATTTAGAATTTGTGGCTGAGTGGAAACCAAGTGCACGGAATGTGCAGAAGTATTGCTGTTTGCGAGAATCTATATATTTCCTTCAAATTCGCTTATGGGAACATTCATTAACTACTACTGGAAACATTCCTCCTCAGGTACTATGCATTCAGAGAGGGTTATATTGGAATTAGTTCGCTTTGCGCTTTCCACTTCCTTTCACCATGCACAGTGGAAGGTCATCACGGATGAAAAATCGACGAGAAGCTTATCATAACATGTTTTCTTATCATGTGCTACCATTATTTGTAAAGAGAAGTTGCTTTTACGTTATTTTCCTTTGTAGCCTATGAAATCATGGTTTGCATAGGTTATACATGTATCATGTTAAAGATGACATGCGTATTCCTCCCACTTTGCACTTAACGTAATAAGCAGTATCTCAAACTTTTTGTATAATTCTTACAACACATTTCAGCCATATTTGAATAGCATTAGCTACTCACTCAGATTTCACAGTTTTGTTATTATTGATTACCCCAACGAAAGTATTTTAGATGCATTTTGAATAGGCCTTTTTGTCTACCTCTCATTTCAGGTTTGAGCATGTTTCAGGCATGGCAAGGTATTAGGTCACTCACCAACTCAATTCGACTGTATCCAGTGCAAAGACTAGTGTGTGTAAAGGCCACCACCACTAGAATGTGCTCAGGTAAGACATCCAGATGACACCACTTCCACTTTCATCTCAGTTCTAACAGAACAGACATCGAGTTTCATATGGTGATCACCCGAATCTGCAATCCAATCAATGAGAAAACAAGCAATAGACATTTATCTTTTCAGCAAATGGCAGTTTACTATTTTGAGGACCCAGGTCAATCATTAGTTTAGGAAGTTGATTCCATCACCTAGCTGTATGAGAATATGTAACCCATTACCTAATTTCAGCTACAGTAGTATCTCTCGCTTGCCAGACTTTAAATCTCACATTGACTCAGCATATAAATCTGTCTGGCCAGTGTCACTACAGGAGCCTGACATCAAACCTCCTCCATTCTAAGGCTAAGCATTTGGAGGAGGTGTCTGGTCAACGAGATTAGCTTACATCTGATAACCCATTGACAATTTAACCAATATAGCACACCCTCTAGTAGACAGCAGTGAGGTGAGAGCAGGGTGAGAGGCTACAGCAACAGTAGCTGCGCCAGGTCAGTAGAGATGTCTAAGTGTCAGTCTGTTATGAGCCCTAGTGCGCTAAGGGCTCTGATCTGTAAGAAAACCCATGGTATAGAGAACACTTCTGGACTCGCTGCAGGTAGGTACACCATATAGCATATTACACTACTCTCAGTGGTGTGAAGTACTTAAGTAAAAATACTTTAAAGTTCTACTTAAGTCGTTTTTTGGGGTATCTGTACTTTACTTTACTTTACTATTTATATTTTTGACAACTTTTAGTTTTACTTCACTACATTCCTAAAGATAAGATTGTACTTTTTACTCCATACATTTTCCCTGATACCCAAAAGTACTCGTTACATTTTGAAAGCTTAGCAGAACAGGAAAATTGTGAAATTCACGTACTTATCAAGAGAACATGTGGTCATCCCTACTGCCTTTCTGGTGGACTCACTAAATACAAATGCATCTTTTGTAAATAAGTTGGTGACCTTGGCTATCCATACATTTTAAAAACAAGAAAATGGTGCCGTCTGGTTTGATTAATATAAGGAATTTGAAATGATTTATGCTTTTACTTTTGATACTTAAGTATATTTGAGCAATTAAATGTACTTTTGATACTTCAGTTTATTTAAAACCAAATACTTCTAGACTTTTACTCAAATACTATTTTACTGGGTGACTTTCACTTTTACTTGAGTAACTTTCTATTAAGGTATCTATACTTTTACTCAAGTATGACAATTGGATACTTTTTCCACCACTGACTACACTATAACTTATTATAAACTGGGTGGTTCGAGCCCTGAATGCTGATTGGCTGACAGCCATAGTATATCAGACCGTATACCACGGGTATGACAAAACAATTATTGATACTGCTCTAATTACATTGGTAACCAGTTTATAAAACAATAAGGCACCTCTGGGGGTTTGTGGTATATGGCCAATATACCACGGCTAAGGGCTGTATCCAGGCACTCCGTGTTGCGTCACGTCTAAGAACAGCCCTTAACCGTGGTATATTGGCCATATACCACACCCCCTCGTGCATTATTGCTTAAATAACACAATAATACTGCTTGAAAATCACCCAGCAGTTGGAATCTTTGATGTAATGGTTAATTATTGAATGCAACCCCATGCACTGAAGGAGCTCAAACATTGAATGCACTGAACAAGCTCAAACATTTAACGTCATCACTTTCTCTCTCCCAGTCTTTATAGAGGCACACGTCTGAATCAAACAATGCAAGACAATTCAGTGTCCAATCTGACTCAATATTCTGTTTCCCTGCGTCTGGTTGACAGGCTACCAGCAGGCTAATGTGGTGATCCTCCATAAGAGCCTAGCTGATGACTTCGAGGCATTCTGCCATGCCAACCCCAGCCCCCTGCCTCTGCTTTACAGGAGTCAGCCCGGGGAGTGGGGCTGTCCACCTCTCGCTGCAGACGCAGACATCAGGTACTAACTGAAACACCCCTATAACACAAAATCAGACAACCATTACAATGCAAATGCAACAATATAACATGGACACTACAAAATACATGATACAAACAAACACATCACACAATAAGCCTACAGAGACTGAACTGTCTTGAATTGGTTATATGTCATGTTATTATGGGGGGTATTCCTGAATTTTACATTTTAGTCATGTAGCAGACACTCTTATCCAGAGCGACTTACAGTTAGTGAGTGCATACATTTTCATACTGGCCCCCCGTGGGAATCGAACCCACAACCCTGGCGTTGCAAACGCCATGCTCTACCAACTGAGCTACACAGCTACACAGAATCTAGGGAGGCATTCATGTGATGTTAACTCAAGAGAGTGTTATGTAACTTTGATGGTGATTTTTATGTCTTGAAACAATCCCTTGTCTACCCATGTGAGGTTATTGTATGTGCAGAGAAGATGTCTTCTCTGAGTCGTATAATGTGCATGACTTATGCTCTGCTTGGAGCATTTAAAATGGTCAATTATTGAACAGCCTCTGTTCAGAATATAGCAGTTCAGGCAGGGCAACATCTACTCTCTGAGTAGCCGTGTAGATTTAACGCTTGAGGATAATCTCTGTCTTGTATTCATGTAATTATTTCCAGGACATGACCCTGCATTTATGGCACATTTTGTAACCATGAAATCTACCCATTCCCCTTCCCCCATTGTTTTCCAACTTTTCACACTGCAGTAAAGCTAGTATTGTTGTCTGTGTGTGCAGAGACTTTCAATAAATCCAGGCTGCATTGTGTGAATGTAGGCTCTAGTCCATGTTCTCAGGACAGGGAACTGGACCAGGGTATTTTCCACTGAGTTTCCACTTCCTATTCACTAGACTGTGAGATAACTGTTTCTGTTTGATCAACAGTAATAGCATTCAAACAGCATCTCCAGTCTATTCCTAGCTCTGTCGCTCTGTCTGTCTCTCTGTCTCTCTGTCTGTCAAGGACCCAAAGTTGCTTTACAATGATAGAGCAAAAACAAGAAGTAGTACAATATCAAAAGCATTTCTATACCTTTACTTCTCCACAGAGTGGACTGCCCCCAGTACTGTGTGTTTAAGGACGGCCTGCTGGTGTCCAGAGTGTCCAGCCTGATGTCCTACAGTGGTCAGCTCCAGGACATGGTCAGCTTCTACCTGGGCTGTAGCTTCAGCTTTGAGAGGACACTGCGGGAGGCCGGGGTCCCTGTCCGAAATGTGGAGCAGAACTGCAATGTCAGCATGTTCAGGGTGAGACGGGGAAGGAGGGTTTCTGCCAGGTACAAATCTGGAGCGACTGACTGTGCAAACAGATCAGAATATAGTTATTTTCCTCCAAGAAGGACTTTCTTTTTCACAGGCTCGTAATTACCATATTATTTCTGATTTGGAGACAAACTTATATGCATAGTTCAAGAGACAAGACTTACAACATACACAATGAGTAAAGCACATCATTTAAAGCCTGTATTTTAATATACTATCCCCTCTGCAGACATCTCTGCAGTGTAGAGGAGTGGGTCAGTTCCAGTGCCCTATGGTGGTGACTATGAGACCAGTACCTGAGGAGCAGCTGGACATCGTGGTCCAGGTCACTCACCTGACCCCTCTGGCCCATGGAGGACCCATCCACATCGGGGATCCAGGTACACAACTGCAGACGGGTCCTTTGTTTGTAGAAAACCAAAAGGCCTCTTCCAGCAATTTACATCCTGTCTGACTCTGCACCATTTCATCACAGCTGTACTGGGGATCCAGGACGTATCCAGGCCGGAGTATGGGGACCCGGTGGCCCCTGGCCCAGGAGATGTACCTGCGTTCTGGGCCTGTGGGGTCACTGGTATGGAGGCTGTCCAGAGTTGCAGTGAGTGGCTGTCTGGTTGTAATATTTATTACTGCACAACTGGCTAAAAAGACACATAGGCGTTTGTTTCCCATTGACAATGGACAATAAAGTATTCTTCTTCTTCCTCAGAGCCCCCACTGGCATTCACCCACTCTCCAGGCTGCATGTTCCTCACTGACCGAGAGGACTCCTCCATCTCTGCGTCCACATCCACCCCTGAGCCTGACCAATGCCCTCTGACTTTCTCCATCTCCCAGCAGCCTTTGCACTACAGTGTGGCATCCAAGGCTGTAGTCCAGAGCATACGAGACCTGGAGAAGATCATTGGCGAGGACCCAGGGGAGAGGGGTATCCGTGCGTTGTTTGTCCAGGATGAGTTGCTGAGGTCCTGCCTGTCCCTCTCCCACTCCTCCTCTGTGCTCATCACTACGGGGTTCCCCACCCACTACACACACAACCCCCCCGAGGAGACAGACGGGCCCCCCGGAGCCTTCGCCATAGCAGCCACCCTCCAGGCCCTTCAGAAGGAGGTTGCTATAGTGACGGATCACCGCGCCCTGGAGATGAATCAGAGGATTATGGAGGATGCAGTGAAGAAAGGTTCATGATTTGGCATATGTGTGCCCTAGCCCTGACCCTATACAGAAGTCTGTCAGTTTAGCTCCAAATGTTTGGCTGACCTCTAACATCTGACCTGTCTGTGTTTCTAGGTGTGATAAAGACAGCCGTACCACTGCTCAGTTACCAAGGCAACAGCCCAGACTCAGCACTGCACTTCCTGTGTCATGACGGAGACCTTAAAAAGCCCAGGTGATGACCTCAGCTTTCAACACACACACACACACACACACACCTTTTCACTCCATCCTATTCACATGGGTCAATTTAGTATTTAGTCTGTTGTGCTCAGATTTGACCACTTGGTGGCGATAGAGCGCAGTGGCAGAGCGTCTGATGGGAACTACTACAACATGAGAGGAGTGAACATCAAACACCTGGTGGACCCTATAGATGATCTATTCACCACAGCCAGCACCATCCCTGGCATCAGCACCACAGGTTGGTACAGATACTATGGAGTTTGATATTCAGGTAGGCTACTGAAAGGTCCACCCGCTATGCACACAGATCTTTAGAATAATATGCACGTCTCAATATAGACTTACGTGTGTTTGTGTGTGTATAGGGATAGGAGATGGTGGGAACGAGCTGGGCATGGGCAAGGTGAAGGAGGCAGTGAGAGAACACATGCCCAATGGGAGCCTGATAGCCTGTGACGTGGCTGCTGACTTCGCCATTACTGCAGGTTGGGAATGAATTATGTATTCATTTAGACTTTATTTATTTACATTTCAAGTTGCCTTTAGTGACCATCCTTACAGGATTAATTACTATATTATATTAAGGGTTGGGTAGGTTACTTTCTAAATGTAATTTGTTACTCCCCAACCCTGATTATATTATTAGATAACACGTTTAGATTAACAATGAGCAGATTGGAGATCTCACATTCTCCAGTGCCCTCTGCAGGCCAAGGGATATAACTGCAGGCAGAAGGATGGTTGTCTCAGGTTTGATGAAAGGGTTGTGTATTATGAACTTGGTTCCATATAGCCAGGCAGTGTGCTACTGCAGGACAGTGTCACCAACACAGACATGCACACTGAAACAGTCAGACACGCTCTCACCTCTACATCAAGGCCAGAGCAGAAGTAGTTTCTTGCGTCAGCTGCCCAAAGGGGAAGATAAACTATGAACGCAAACACATCTACATGCACACTGTACACACACACACACTGTATACACCCAGCTATATACACCCATAGAGTATTCACACAGCTTTTGGTAAGTAAGATTTCCAATGAATTCTTTACACACGACACTTGGAACTTGATATAGTGGCCCAACTTATTATGCTGATTAAAGTTTACACTCACAGACAAGAGAGACAACCCACTGGGCAAAAACTGGTTGAATCAACATTGACTTCTTTCTTTGAAATGATGTGGAAACAATGTGATGATGTTGAATCAACATGAAAAACTGATTGGATTTGTAGAAAGTCATCAATGTAAGAGTATTTAGTATTTTTTTCTAACCTAAATCCAATGACATGGTGAAATTGTTTGTTGATTTCACGTTGAAGTCACGTTAGTTGAAAACTCAACCAAATGGAAATAAAAACTGACATCTGCACCCAGTGTACAACCATTTGTGTTTATCTTTAAAAAATCGCATTAGATCATGAGACAGCATCATTAAGAGAGTGCATGAGGAAGACTGAGTAAAATGTAACTTGTAAAACAGTTTTGAATCTTATCCTGTTCTTCCTCTCTACCCCTGTCTCTGGGTTGTAGGAGTGTCTAACTGGGGAGGCTACGGCATGGCCTGTGCTCTGTACATCCTCAGTCTCTGTCCCATCCACCAGCGGTACCTCCACAAAAGGCCTGGGCCAGCCTCACCCACCTACCCAGGACCAGCACCAGGCCTGGGCTGCTAGCCTGCCCTCTGTAGCCAAGGTATGGTAGTTCCTAGATCACACTGTACAATTAAGTACAATCAATTTGACACAATGGTTGTGATACAACTGATATTTTTGATGAGTTTGTCTGTACAAAAATGTTTACACCACCGCTGTATCATATGCGTTTTACATCAGTTGAACTGGGCCAGGAATGTAGTCAAGGTAAGAATGTCCATTCCCCAGGCCTGGCTCTAGGCTACACTAACTCTATGTCTATATGTCTCTAGGTATCTCTATGCTTCACTACATGCAGATCTTAGGCATGGGGTCAGAGCAGAGGCCCTCCACTGTCACAGTGAGACCATTATAGGGAGGTGCAGACAGAGTCCCTAGAGAATAGGCCAGCCGCCACATTCTTGACATTTTTGTATGCGTGGTGAACTCCCAGACCACTTCAGAACCCCAGCAAAGCCAATGTGTCATTAACATGGCTAGCTGTAAAGGGAGGAGGCCGGGATGGGGGCCAGCACAGTTTGCCACATTTTGATATAGATAAAGCATATACTTTTGCAAGTCAACCTTTTAATTTAAAACTGATTGTTTTCAATAGGTTTAGGAACAGATGCCCAGTGTTGTGAGATGTATTCTGCACTTGACACAGATTTATAACTCACAACTAGCATTTAAGCTGTCTCATAATGTTCTTATTTTGACACCGCTCTAAAATGTCTTTACAGTACAGTTTCTGTATTACAGTACTTGGGAAGTGTCGATGTGATGGTTGCAGTGAGACGAGCAGTGTATTGACATACAGTGCATTCGGAAAGTATTCAGACCCCTTGACTTTTTCCACATTTTGTTACGTTACAGCCTTATTCTAACAGATAAAATATAACATTTTCCTCATCAATCTACACACAATACCCCATAATGACAAAGTGAATACAGGTTTTTAGATTTTTTCTCCACATATATTAAAAATGAAAAACAGAAATACCTTATTTACATAAGTATTCAGAGCCTTTGCTATGAGACTCTAAATTGAGCTCAGGTGCATCCTGTTTCCATTGATCATCCTTGAGATGTTTCTACAACTTGATTGGAGTCCATCTGTGGTAAATTCAATTGATTGGACAAGATTTGGAAAGGCACACACCTGTCTATATAAGGTCCCACAGTTGACAGTGCATGTCAGAGAAAAGACCAAGCCATAAGGCCAAAGGAATTGTCCGTAGAGCTCAGAGACAGGATTGTGTCGAGGCACAGATCTAGGGAAGGGTACCAAAACATTTCTGCAGCATTGAATGTTCCCAAGAACACAGTGGTCTCCATCATTCTTAAATGGAAGAAGTTTGGAACCTGCTCCAGAGCGCTCAGGACTTCAGACTGAGGCAAAGGTTCACCTTACAATAGGACAACGACCCTAAGCACACAGCCAAGACAACGCAGGAGTGGCTTCGGGACAAGTCTCTGAATGTCCTTGAGTGGCCCAGCCAGACTTGAACCCGATCTAACAACTTTGGAGAGACCTGAAAATAGCTGTGCAGCGATGCTCCCCTGACAGAGCTTGAAAGGATCTGAAGAATGGGAGAAACTCCCCAAATACAGGTGTGCCAAGCCTGTAGCATCATATACAAGAAGACTCAAGGCTGTAATCACTGCCAAAGGTGCTTCAACAAAGTACTGAGTAAAGGGTCTGAATACTTATGTAAATTGTTTTTGATTTTTTTGTATTTGCTAAAATGTCATTATGGGTTATTGTGTGTAGATCGATGAGGATATATATATATATATATATATATATATATATATATATATATATATATATATATATATATATATATTTTTTTTTTAAATCTATGTTAGAATAAGGCTGTAACGTAACAAAATGTGGAAAAAGTCAAGCGGTCTGAATACTTTCCGAATGCACTGTAGGTCAGTGTTTCATCCAGATCCACAGTCATTATGTATATTTGTTTGTTCAATTCCAACCACAGCACACCTGAATCAACTCATCATGTTGAATAGTTCACTAGTTACATCAGGTGTGGTAGTGTTGGAGTTCAACATATATGTGGACTAGTTGGGGGTCCAGAGGACCAGTTTGAGAAACAGTCTGCTATATGTAAACCTGTGTCACCGGTCTCTATTTGCCATGCCACAGGAGGAGGAGATGCTGTCCATCCTGGTGCAACACGGCGTCCGCAGCGGCAAGACAGGAACTCTGGGCATGGAGGTGGACGGCCTGACCTTTCACCCCACACACTCTGACCTCATCATAAAGCTCAGGAACCGCACATCACAGAGAAAGTGAAACTACACCTTACAAACTACCACCTATGCAAAGTAGTGAACATACAGTGAGGGAAAAAAGTATTTGATCCCCTGCTGATTTTCTACATTTGCCCACTGACAAAGACATGATCAGTCTATCATTTTAATGGTAGGTTTATTTGAACAGTGAGAGACAGAATAACAACAAAAAAATCCAGAAAAACGCATGTGAAAAATGTTATAAATTGATTTGCATTTTAATGAGGGAAATAAGTATTTGACCCCCTCTCAATCAGAAAGATTTCTGGCTCCCAGGTGTCTTTTATACAGGTAACGAGCTGAGATTAGGAGCACACTCTTAAAGGGAGTGCTCCTAATCTCAGCTTGTTACCTGTATAAAAGACACCTGTCCACATAAGCAATCAATCAATCAGATTCCAAACTCTCCACCATGGCCAAGACCAAAGAGCTCTCCAAGGATGTCAGGGACAAGATTGTAGACCTACACAAGGCTGGAATGGGCTACAAGACCATCGCCAAGCAGCTTGGTGAGAAGGTGACAACAGTTTGTGCGATTATTCGCAAATGGAAGAAACACAAAATAACTGTCAATCTCTCTCGGCCTGGGGCTCCATGCAAGATCTCACCTCGTGGAGTTGCAATGATCATGAGAACGGTGAGAAATCAGCCCAGAACTACACGGGAGGATCTTGTCAATGATCTCAAGGCAGCTGGGACCATAGTCGACAAGAAAACAATTGGTAACACACTATGCCGTGAAGGACTGAAATCCTGCAGCGCCCGCAAGGTCCCCCTGCTCAAGAAAGCACATATACAGGCCCGTCTGAAGTTTGCCAATGAACATCTGAATGATTCAGAGGAGAACTGGGTGAAAGTGTTGTGGTCAGATGAGACCAAAATCGAGCTCTTTGCCATCAACTCAACTCGCCGTGTTTGGAGGAGGAGGAATGCTGCCTATGACCCCAAGATACCATCCCCACCGTCAAACATGGAGGTGGAAACATTATGCTTTGGGGGTGTTTTTCTGCTAAGGGGACAGGACAACTTCACCGCATCAAAGGGACGATGGGCCTGGCCATGTACCGTCAAATCTTGGGTGAGGACCTCCTTCCCTCAGCCAGGGCATTGAAAATGGGTCGTGGATGGGTATTCCAGCATGACAATGACCCAAAACACCGGGCCAAGGCAACAAAGGAGTGGCTCAAGAAGAAGCACATTAAGGTCCTGGAGTGGCCTAGCCAGTCTCCAGACCTTAATCCCATAGAAAATCTGTGGAGGGAGCTGAAGGTTCGAGTTGCCAAACGTCAGCCTCGAAACCTTAATGACTTGGAGAAGATCTGCAAAGAGGAGTGGGACAAAATCTCCCCTGAGATGTGTGCAAACCTGGTGGCCAACTACAAGAAACGTCTGACCTCTGTGATTGCCAACAAGGGTTTTGCCACCAAGTACTAAGTAATGTTTTGCAGAGGGGTCAAATACTTATTTCCCTCATTAAAATGCAAATCAATTTATAACATTCCTGACATGCATTTTTCTGGATTTTTTTAATGTTATTCTGTCTCTCACTGTTCAAATAAACCTACCATTAAAATTATAGACTGATCATGTCTTTGTCAGTGGACAAACGTACAAAATCAGCAGGGGATCAAATACTTTTTTCCCCTCACACTACCACTGCACCTTCCACACTACCAACCACCAGACCACTACCCACAGTAGTGAAAATACCATGCTGCTGCTGTCATACTCATCCTCCCCTCCACACCACCCTCCCCCTCACTACCTCCCCAAACGACTGGGGCTGGACCTTGGTCTGTGACCAGGTGGAAGCCCCACCTGAGCCAAAAGCTACTACACTGCAAAACCCTACAATATCTCACGTTCAACTCACATCATTAATCATCTGATTGCATGGAACTTGAACACATATTACAGTACATGGCAGTCTTCCTAAAGGCTTGAGTTCAATGCTGTCATGTTTGGATCAAACCGAGAAGTGAGGTGTGGAGTTGGAGGAGTTGTGAATTGCCTGCAGCTGTGCATTTGATTGCTCCCGAACGTTTGTTTATTACAAACTTCATAAATTATAAACCATTGTCCTTTGTAGCTCAGTTGGTAGAGCATGGCGCTTGTACCGCCAGGGTAGTGGATTCGATTCCCGGGACCACCCATACATAAAATGTATGCATGTATGACTAAGTTGGATGAAAGTGTCTGCTACGTGGCATATATTATGTTATTATAATATTACAAGCTAAAACCTGATATCAGAAAACGCCATAAATCAAGTTGTTTTTGTAGCTTTGTGATGTTAATTCTAGAATAAACAAGGCACTAGATTAGAACTACAGTGGGGGAAAAAAGTATTTAGTCAGCCACCAATTGTGCAAGTTCTCCCACTTAAAAAGATGAGAGGCCTGTAATTTTCATCATAGGTACACGTCAACTATGACAGACAAATTGAGAAAAAAAATCCAGAAAATCACATTGTAGGATTTTTTAATGAATTTATTTGCAAATTATGGTGGAAAATAAGTATTTGGTCACCTACAAACAAGCAAGATTTCTGGCTCTCACAGACCTGTAACTTCTTCTTTAAGAGGCTCATCTGTCCTCCACTTGTTACCTGTATTAATGGCACCTGTTTGAACTTGTTATCAGTATAAAAGACACCTGTCCACAACCTCAAACAGTCACACTCCACACTCCACTATGGCCAAGACCAAAGAGCTGTCAAAGGACACCAGAAACAAAATTGTAGACCTGCACCAGGCAGGGAAGACTGAATCTGCAATAGGTAAGCAGCTTGGTTTGAAGAAATCAACTGTGGGAGCAATTATTAGGAAATGGAAGACATACAAGACCACTGATAATCTCCCTTGATCTGGGGCTCCACGCAAGTTCTCACCCCGTGGGGTCAAAATTATCACAAGAACGGTGAGCAAAAATCCCAGAACCACACGGGGGGACCTAGTGAATGACCTGCAGAGAGCTGGGACCAAAGTAACAAAGCCTACCATCAGTAACACACTACGCCGCCAGGGACTCAAATCCTGCAGTGCCAGACGTGTCCCCCTGCTTAAGCCAGTACATGTCCAGGCCCGTCTGAAGTTTGCTAGAGTGCATTTGGATGATCCAGAAGAGGATTGGGAGAATGTCATATGGTCAGATGAAACAAAAACTTTTTGGTAAAAACTCAACTCGTCGTGTTTGGAGGACAAAGAATGCTGAGTTGCATCCAAAGAACACCATACCTACTGTGAAGCATGGGGGTGGAAACATCATGCTTTGAGGCTGTTTTTCTGCAAAGGGACCAGGACGACTGATCCGTGTAAAGGAAAGAACGAATGGGGCCATGTATCGTGAGTTTTGAGTGAAAACCTCCTTCCATCAGCAAGGGCATTGAAGATGAAACGTGGCTGGGTCTTTCAGCATGACAATGATCCCAAACACACCGCCCAGGCAACGAAGGAGTGGCTTCGTAAGAAGCATTTCAAGGTCCTGGAGTGGCCTAGCCAGTCTCCAGATCTCAACCCCATAGAAAATCTTTGGAGGGAGTTGAAAGTCCGTGTTGCCTAGCGACAGCCCCAAAACATCACTGCTCTAGAGGAGATCTGCATGGAGGAATGGGCCAAAATACCAGCAACAGTGTGTGAAAACCTTGTGAAGACTTACAGAAAACGTTTGACCTGTGTCATTGCCAACAAAGGGTATATAACAAAGTATTGAGAAACTTTTGTTATTGACCAAATACTTATTTTCCACCATAATTAGCAAATAAATTCATTAAAAATCCTACAATGTGATTTTCTGGAGAGAAAAAATTCTAATTTTTTCTGTCATAGTTGACGTGTACCTATGATGAAAATTACAGGCCTCTCTCATCTTTTTAAGTGGGAGAACTTGCACAATTGGTGGCTGACTAAATACTTTTTTCCCCCACTGTATATACAACTGGTTTTAGTTTGTGATATAGACCTTGAAAACCACAACCTCTCAATAAATATCTCGTGTTGAAAAGTGTTCTTTTTTGTTGTTGGTAAAATCATCACGCGTTGATTCGTAGGACCAAATTAGTAGAACCAAAGAGAGAATCAGTCACACACGCACACTGGGCAGACACACACACACACGTAGATCAGAAGGCAGACTGCTCCCAGGGACAGTTGACTTCCTTTGTGGCACGCTACTGACTGTGCACTGCTACTACCACTTCCTCTCCAGATCTGTGTGTTTTACACACCAGAAACACGGGCTTGGTAACATTTTGACTTAGTGACGAGTCGGTGAGAAAAGCACTTGCTAAAAGCAGAGTACCACTGCAACCTGTGTCCTAAAAACCCTCTTCTGTAATTCATCACAGAGATAGATTGTTTAAAGTTGCTAAACACACACTGTCTTACTAATATGAATGGTGTTAATGACATTTGTATTGGAAATCATAAATCAGTTATGTGATTGATTACTTTTAAAATTATTATTACATGATGTAACAGTTTATGGAGTGTATTAAAATCATCTGATTAGAACCAGAGCTCCACTGAAACATGATCTCATCAACTGCCAGTGCCAGTGTGTGCCATGCTAGTGGCCACCCTCCCTAAATATCCCACCTTCTCCCTCCCTCTCGCTCGCTCTCCCTTACTTCCTCCCTCTGCAGCCAAGGTCACTCACAGATCTGTCTAAAACAACCTTTCACACACACTTCTTAGTCAACACTGTCTGACAAACACATGGAATGGTTTCAGGCAACCCCGCAAAGACAGTAGACATATTGTATTCTCCAGCCAAAGAATTAAATCCAACATTATGCTCCTACTCTTGCTTGTAGGCCTTATGTCACACAGTTAGTTTATCTATAGTTTTGTTATCTAACATGGACATGATAGAAAGCGATGATATTAGGTTTGACCTTTCCAAATGAAGCCCTTTCCTTCTAGGTTCAGCCAAAGTAAAGTTAGTGTCGTCCAAAGGAGGCTTCTGTTGCTAGGTTAATAAACAAACCAAGGCTTTTTATTAGCTAGCTACTGGCTACACCTGAGAATGTTTAGTAATATTCGATGATGGAATTAATGAGTTGCTAACTTAATAAAATAAAT